TACCCTAAGCGATCCCTATTTGCTATAAGAAACCTGGGTATGCCTGTCGAGGGTTGCGCCTCTTATTATGACAAGTATCACTTGAGCACGTGATTCGTGACAGTACTCCTAGCTAGGATTTAAGGCTATCCTAAGCTTAAACTCCTATCGCTATTCCTTGTCACGAATCACGTGTTAGCATGTGACGAGTTAGTCCAAACGGCGTTCTGACAGGACAGATACATCCAGAGTAGTTATATCATAGCAGTGGTTACTCAGGGTTGTTGAGTATCCAAGGATTTCATAGCATTCATAGTCACGTGATAAAAGCGCGACAGCGCGACAAGCGAATTGTCGCGCGCGACAGCACGACGAGCGCGCTGTCGACATTTGGGATTTGGAGAACGAAGGTTCTATATAAGACTGGCATGTCTGCCATTAGATAGGAGCTTCGTGCTCAACTTAGTTATCAATCTTATCATATTAGTTTGACATCTTTGATACAAGTAACGAGTTCACTTCCAAGTGAACAACCCGTTAGTCTTCTTCTTATCATAGCATACCAACCAGCGAACACCCAGCCAAGTTTAGTTAGCCAGTTTGAGTATTCGTTACATAGTAGCCTTATCTACTTGAGTCTATTCCGTAAAGAATATATGTAAGAAGAATTTCTTATAACTTTAAAATAAATCTTAAGTTCCTTAATATTAATAAGAACTAATAAATAATAATTATATATAAAAAGAACTAGAAATTATACATAAAAAAGTACTTTCTTTTCTCTTCTTACTAATATTAATTTTCATAATTCTAATAAAGATTTAAGATTTTTTAATATTTCTTATATCTACTTATAAACTATTTTTAGGTTAAAGTACTTTAAAAAATAAATATACTAATCTAGAAGGTTAGAACAAGTAACTAGTAACTACCTAGGTAATATAAGTATAAGCTAAGAATAGTACTTAATCTATTATTATTCTCTTACCTAAATAGAGATCTATTCCTCGTACCTCGAATCTTTGTAAGAGATACCTGGCATGTCCTTTCTGAACTTCTCTAATCCGTATTTAATCTAGAAGCTCTTAATTGGTATTTTCTATTTGTTTAGAATAGATATATTAAACTTTTATTAGATTACCATAACGTTAGATAACTATACATTTAAAATGGGACCACATATATGGAAACCGGAACATGGAATCGGTATGTAATATGAACAAGTTCTACTTCAAAATCGCTTGGAAAAGAGAGGAATCCATGGTAAAGAGAAAGGTAAGGGCATATCGGACAGATTTATAGCTGATCGCAGGGCGAGTCGTTTTCCTGAAAGCCGTGATCCCTATCAAATAGTCCTTCAAGAGAGATAATCTGTTCACTTTTAGAAGCGATAACGTAAAAGCTAGAGTAGTAATCCCTATAATCAGAGCGTAAACATGGTACAAGGCCGATCATCCTTCCGAGCGGAGACTTATACCAAATGGCGCCGTCAAGACTAGGGTTCTCAAAAGAAGTGCTCTGTTCGCTCATTAAATTAAATCAATAACCTAGAAGTCGGTCCTATAATCAGCTAGTACGTATCTATTAGAAGTGAAGGCCCAACGTTGTTTCTAGAAGGTGGCGACTGTCTGTGAACATGATAGAAAGGTAGTGGAAGCAGAAGTAAGGTCTCTGATTCCTTATGCCAGAGCTGGTTAGTATAACAAGATTTAAGAAGATTACCCCGAAGACTAGCTTGTGTCCTAGAGCAGTGCTACCAATTCTCAGAACACAAAGAAGGCACTCTTGTAATTTGTGTTAAAAAAGTTATATCTCCTGGACCTCGTATATGTACCTACGATTTTTAGGTTAGAAAATCATAGCGCGCCTTGGTCCGACTTTCTGTGTACTGCTCATACTATACTATTATTAAGTACTAAGACTTCAAGTAAGCAACGTTAATACTAAAATCGAATTATATATATAGGGTCTAGGCTAAGGGCATCTCGGCTAATTATAAGGGGGTCTTGGCTAAGACAGGAGAGTACTTAGTAACAATTAAGTCCTCGTGGTTTTAGTACTTGCTACTTCCTGAGTATAGTTGTCCTATACTTTATACCAGGTCTATTCTCCGATATATCTCGAGTACTCGCGACTCCCCTGTTAGGCTAAGCGACCGACTTCGACCGCTAAAATAGGAAATCGCAAACCTTGAATTTGAAATGTATATACGGGGCGTCGAGGAGATATAAGTAATTATTCTTAAATAGTAGCCCTCTTATCTCATTTTCCTCGTCTCTCCTCTTACCCCCATTTGGGACCGGTTTCTATCTTAGCTATTATGCTCTTTAATTGAAACCCGACCTGTTCTGCTTCGCGCCTAGGCCCAAAGTCTCTACCACGAGCTAGTAAATATTCAATGTTATACTAAGAATCCTCCCGTTTCTTAAAACGAGCTTTAAAACGAGCTTTATCTAGTGCCGTAGACGTATGATGCCGGAGAGATTTGTGAATGAAACAGAAAAATAGATTTTCTTCGGACTTACCTCGAAGTAAGTCCAAAGCTGGAAAGAAGTATGGAACGTTATGTAGCGTCTTTTCTGTCGCTCATTAAATAACATTACAGTCTTTGAGGAACCGATCTTCATTTTTTGAGCTAGACACATTGGATTTTTGGGGAAGGAGTATGGATACCTCTCATGGATACTGGAGCATGAGCCTAGAGCCGGTTTGAATACTTACCTGGAATCGAATTATACTTACGAGGAGCTAATTTATTTGAGAGCCCTTCTTGGGTATGGAGTGTGACGCTAAGGGTATCATCTTTTACTTCTTTTTTTGGCGCCTTCAGCTAGCCAAAAAACCCATATATGTATTAGACCCACCCGCCTAGCTTCTCTATTCAATTACTCACATCTGAATCCAAAAAATTCTTATCGCGCAAATGCGTGGAACCATCACCAGGATTAAAAGTAGTAACCCCATTCCCCTTCGGCCAATTCACAGGACCAAAAAACACTGAACCACCCAACCGCCTCCGAAGTCAACAACTAGAATCCCACACCCCGAATCCCAGCCCAATCCGTATACCTATCCCCATAACCCAAAAGGTAATCTTTCTACTTGCACGCTATGCATTCGAGTAAACCATGATACGATAGTTCTTCCCAGCCTGGGGAGCAAGCGAAATTATCCCGCGTGTCAAAGACGTCAAAGAATAAAAGAGCAAGACCTCTCACTCTTCGCACTCGCACTCAGCTGTGCGTCTTGAAGCTAAGCGTCTACTCATCACATCTCGACTTACAAATCCTCGTGATGATGAAAGAATCACAGAACTTTCAAGGTTAATATTACTTTATATTCTTAATCCAGTATTCTTGTAAACGCAGCCAGAAAGTCCGATAACTACAGTGAGACGACGATTGGCAGAGCCGAGAAGCGGGGGGTCTTTGATGGGTGTTTGGAAATAGTGACGAGGATCGGACTGGAGGTGGAAGGGATGGCGTAGGGTGAGTTGGTAGGGTGGTGAAGAATAGCTTCGTCGCTTTCGTTGGAGAGACGTAGAACTTCAAGTGATAAGTATTCGAAGCGTTGTTCGTAATAGAACGTTTTCCTTACCATTACTCTATTAACATAAGGACACGAAAACAAAAACACGCTAAAGAACACCCCCTCCTTTCCGTAACAGGTAGAGTCACTTAGAAGCAAATACCCTAAATCACCCTAAAACCATTAACCCTTATACTTTTTAACCCTTCCAAGAACATATCCTAAAAACAAACAAACGAATATCCTCAGCCCCCCCCTCCCAAAAAGAAGAAGAAATCCCCTCTTACAAATATTTTAAAACTTGTTAATTAGATAGGTATAGTATAAAGTAATCACATACTTCACCGGCGTTCTCTCAACGTAAGAGGCATCTATATCAAGTTCAAGAATCTTCTCGCGGTACTCTGTCCGGTTCACGTTATACTCGCTATAGGGGAGAAGAGAAGAAGAGAAGGAAAGGAATAGGAAGGTGGATGTTTTTATTGAGAATTTAGGGAGAGGCTTAGAGGGAGGGCAATAGAAAGGTTGTAGGAGGAAAAGTGAGGGATGATCTCGTATTACGGTATAGATGTGATTTATTAGTTAGCGAAAAGAAGAGATTAGATGACAGTAGACAAGACAAGGTCTTCTCATTTTCATCTCTCATCTTCGACTATACCTATATCACTAAATATGCAATCTTCCTACCACACTTCCATTAATTATCTCAAACACCCATAACAACCCCTTTCCCCTGAACGCAAAGTATAAAAACAATGATCCGCTAAATTACTACATATCCTCTACCTATATCCCCAATCAACCCCCCGGAGACACCACAGCAGTAGTCCTCTCCGACCTCCTCGCCTTCTTAAAACAAGCGAACTCACTTCTGCTCCCCTCCCTCAACTTCTTCAACACCGCTCTCATCTCCGGCAACTCATTCTGAAGCCTCGCCCTCGCATCATCATCCGTCCCCTTGTCCAATTCCTGATATATCTGGCTCTGCATCTCACTCGCGCGATCAGTCGTATATTGACTAAGCGTCTGGGCCACGAATTCCACATCAAGCGTAGCTTGCATGAGCGCGGAGAGGGAATACTGTTGTCTCGTTTTGAAGGCCTCGAGGAGCTCTCGGGAGGCTTGTTCAAGGAGGTAGGAAAGAACGTGGGCAGTGAGAGATGATGCGGTGGTGGATACTTGGGTATGTACGAGAACCAAACTCAACAGAGCTTCGTAGACATATGCTCGCACTTCTTTCGGTTTCTCGTTCTCTGCAGGTGGCCAAGCAGGATTTAGAATGCCGTTCTTGATGATGCTCTTTAAACTTTCGACTGCGGGTCGCGTGTAAGACTGGAAGAGACGGGCATCAATCTGACCAAGGACGTCGCGAATGGTTTTTGTCTCATCCGTAAGCTTCACTGAAAAGGAATTTTCAAATTGGGTAGTTAGGTTAGGCACCACATCGCTTCGTAAAGCCTGGAGATTGCTCAAAGTGAGAAGCATGCGGACATTCTGTTCATGTCAGTTCTTTCCTACAACCTTATACGAGGACAACTTACTCTGTCACTAGCATTGACAGTACCAGCACCGATGCTAGTTGCAATAACAGTTGCCACAGGACTCGCTAACCCCTCTCTTTCAGTGGTCCAGTCATCTTCTGTCTTTACTATATTTCGCTCGGCATTTTCCACCATCCCGCTCAATGCCTTGTACAATGTCGTGACAAACTGACTTCGAACCATTTGTAAGAGTTTTGCTGGCGGTGGAAGAACAACCTGAGCACTACCAGCTTTCGCTTCAGAAATGTACAGTATCTTTTGCATTCCCGTCAAAACTGCGCTTTCAAATGCACTAAAATTCGCTGGCATTCTTGTGAGATTGCGTTTCTCAGGGGACCGCCGCCAATCTTCGAGCACCTTGATATTCTCTGCGTCTTTATTCCAGGCAGCACAAATCGCCGTCACACATCGCTCTCGAGCACCCCCAACCAAGGTCTTCAGTCGCTCCAAAGCAACGCCATCCCCGTTTTCAATGAGTGATATAGAAGCCATTTCACTTGCACCTGTCCCTACCAACACCAATAATTTGGCGAGATGATGAACTCCACTAAGCGAGTTTGACCACGGAGGCCAAAAAGCAAACTTTTCCCAGGCTTCTCCTCGCCTGGGAGATGGTGGAGGCAGTTTATTTGGGTCGAAAGTGAAACGAGGACCACGGATTGATGTGGGTGTTAGTGCCGATACGCTGGCAGATCCTGGTGTCAATGGAGTCGGTGGTAAGGGGGAGAATAACGAAGATATGTCATCAATTGGAGGGTCCGCGAAAAAAGAAAACACACTTTCTCGTATCATATCAACCAATTCGATCGTACCTTTCTGTATCTCGGCTTCCCCTTCAGCGGAAAGTCTGTGATGCTTACGTGATTCGCCGTTTAGACCGGCTGGCAAGGTCCTTTGCGCTGTTCCGTCCAGGAAGCCTTGTATGGTTTTCCAGAACTCCATGACCTCCCCAAGTATACCTTTAGGAGAAAGTAAACTGGTGAGAAAGATATTCATCTTTTCCCAAAGCTCTACGATATCCGCAGAGTCTATAGAAGTAGGTTTATCTTCGACAGTTTGACGTGTAAGTGATCGGAGATGGGATGCCACTACTTGATTGGAAGGTCTTTCTCCATTCGCTAATCGCCGACGGGTAATTTCAATTTCAATTCTGGAACGCTCTGCTGTCAGAGAGACTTTGTTCTTCAAGTGATCATAGCGACTGAGGAGCCAAACCCAAATAGGATTATCTTCGACGCCAAGTTCGAGTAAAATACCTATAAGTTCCATATGCTGGTCTTGTGGATGTGGGCTTTGAGCACCATCACCCCGATTAGACGGTCCCTGTATGGCGATGAGTTTTCTCCAAATATCTCTCTTGAAGTCGGAAATCTGCTCTTCGACATCATGCCATACACGAGCAGCGAGCAGTATCCGGTGCAACTGAGAATCGGTTGGTGACGTAGATCCCAGGTTTTCAGTAAGAGCTTTAGCATCATCTGCGAATCGTCTGGCCTTGCCATATTCTTCAACTAATGTTTCGTAATCTTTGCGCTTGATACAATCCGTGATGGCACCGTTTGCCTCATACATCTCCTTGTATTGCAAGAAAGCTGTCGACATGTTTTTCAGACTGTCTTCCTTTTCACGACCTCCCAAAGCTGGGCCCCATACTTCTTCGGCTTTCGCTGATACATCGAGAAGCGGTTTTTTAATACCCAAAACCCCATACTCGCTTTCCTTTGTCAATGCGTTCTTCTTTTTTGTGTCCGGGGTAAGAAGAGCCATAGAGGCTTGATTCCCACTACTCGTTCTGAAACTATTTCGACTAGCATGGCGGGAATGTGGTCTGCTTCTTGGGGGAGGCGGCACCGGTTTCTCTCCTCTATACTTCATTTCTGTGTATACGTTATCAATGGTCGCTTTGGCACGGACGAATCGTTCAAAGTTGGACTCGACAAGAACTTTGAGGGAAGCGGATTTCTGGTCAATGGACCTGGAAAGTGTATCAAGCCCGTTTAGGAGGTCGTTGGTGGACGCCGTCGAGTGGACTTGCGATAGGAAGAGTGACGGCGAGAAAGTCGTAGAGGAGAGTAGGAATCTATTTCCTGGGTGCTGTTAGATACAAACCCCCTCTAACAAGGTTCCTTGACTTACGAAGCCCGATATCATCTTGTACTGGCAGACCCAGCTGCCGCAGGATTCTCACTACGCTCTCTGTTGTACCGAGGGGATCAGGTTCGTCCCTTTGCACTAGATTTTCTGTCCCATTTCGTGTCCTCTGTGATCCAGGAACGAGACTCTTACGATCACCGGTTGGTCTTTCCAATGCAGAATACCGGGACTTGCGTCGCATCACCTTTTTCTTCGCGTTGGAGCTTTCTTCCTCTTCATCTGAAGCATCGCTCATATCCTTTTCGGCCGGCCATTCGACGGGATACGGAGTCGCGAGTTGGTAATGGTCCAGCACTGTCTGGGCATAGGCTGATTCCGCCATACTGGAGGAGTCTACAGAGGTATTCGTGGGAACCTGGGAATGTTGAATTGTAAAGTATTACCGAGTCGAGGTCCTGTCAAATTCCATCACGCATTCATTCTGGCCCAGCCCTGTGCGGCACTGCGATCCTCACTTCGTGTTGTCGGGTCTCCTCAAGTATCGTCTGGCTTGTGTACGAGTACCGGGTATGGTGTTGTGAGCTTCCCTACCCGGAGCTGCTCCGGCCCGTTTCCGCAATGACTTTGCGATACCGAGGCTCGCCACGAATACAAGTAGCGGGCAGCAAATAGCTCCCATTTTCTGAACTAGCACAGAGTATCAAACTCGCATTTCTGAAGCAAAACAGATCAGTTTTGTGACAACTATAGAAATAAAAGTTTTCACATCGGCAATCATTGCAAAGATTGTTTGTTTTCTGCGGCTTTCTGGGCAACACAAGCTCTACACATAGCCGAGCTTCAAAAGTCGAAAGTCCGGTTGCGCAAAAGCTCTGCCTTGCCAAGCTGAAGACAGACTACTACCCTCCTACTCTTTCCGCCCTGCAACAACAAGCTATCGCAAAACCTGCTACACCTTCATTCTTCCTCGGATCCTCCCAAACTTTTCTTCTCGCACTTCGCATAACCTATCGCAACACTCTTACGGTTGTTGCTCTCTTCAAAATGCTTGCAGTTCGCTCATTTGCCGCTCCTGCGCGGCGGCAGGCTTTCCAAGCGGCTCCCCGCGTCTGGTCGACAACTTTTGTCGCAGTAAGGCTGTCCCTCCACAACCCTGTGCTGGGCTTGTTATAAATAGACTAACCTTTCATCCATTCAGTTCCGCCGCACATATTCTACAAAAAAAGACGAAGTCGCAAAGTTCCACGGTAAAAAGGGCTCCGATGTAAGAAACTCCGATAACGATTCCTGCTTCGATACAGCTCTACGGTCGAAGAGAAGACCCAATTGAGGTCGAGGATGTATAAAAGATGTTCGGGGAGACTGACAATTTAAAAGGGACTGTATACAGTTAGTTTGATTGAGGGTGATGGTATTGGACCAGAAATCTCTCAATCCGTCAAGGATATTTTTGCCGCGGCTAAGGTAAGTTGGATCAATCACACAAAAACAAATTCTCCTGCTCACGAGATTACAGGCGCCAGTAAAATGGGAGCCAGTTGATGTTACACCAATGCTTAAAGATGGCAAGACCACCATTGCTGATGCGACAATCGAAAGTATCAACAGAAATAAGGTTGCCCTCAAGGGCCCCCTTGCAGTAAGTAGTTTATTGCTCGTGGCGAGCACGTTTTCCAATTGCTAACCGGGTTTAGACCCCAATTGGAAAGGGTCACGTCTCGCTCAACTTGACTCTCCGACGAACCTTCAACCTTTTCGCAAACGTTAGACCATGTCGTTCAATTGCCGGATACAAGACTCCATATGATAACGTGGATACCGTCTTGATCAGAGAGAATACCGAGGGAGAGTACTCCGGTATCGAGCACGTTGTGGTTGATGGTGTTGTGCAGAGCATTAAGTTGATCACTAGAGAGGCAAGCGAGAGAGTGCTACGATTCGCTTTCCAATACGCCGAGAACATTGGACGACTAAAGGTCCGGGCAGTTCATAAGGCAACCATCATGAAGATGAGTGATGGTTTGTTCTTGGGAACCGCAAAGCGTGTCGCCAAGGACTACCCAGGTGTCGAGTTTGATGCAGAGCTTTTGGACAACACCTGCTTGAAGATTGTTACTGACCCAACACCATACAACGACAAAGTTCTTGTTATGCCCAACCTTTACGGTGACATTCTATCTGATATGTGCGCTGGTTTGATTGGTGGTCTTGGACTTACACCATCCGGTAACATCGGAGACGAGTGTTCCATTTTCGAAGCTGTTCACGGATCAGCACCAGATATCGCTGGCAAGGCCCTTGCCAACCCTACCGCACTTCTTCTCAGTTCGATCATGATGTTGAGACATATGGAGTTATACGACCACGCACAGAGAATAGAGAAGGCTATCTTTGATACTCTTGCTGAGGGAAAGACGTTGACCGGTGACTTGGGAGGAAAGTCAAAGACCCACGAATACGCGGCAGCCATCATCAGTCGTTTGTAGATATTTATACCCTTAATTCGGGGCTGTAGACTGTATCATTGAATGAATTGCATATCAAATAGAAACCCAGCATTTTGAATCGTACATTTTCGCCATCGTGAATGACAGGGTTGCGATAGCCTGGAAAAACGAGGTTTGAAGAATTTCTTCGGACATGGGGTTTTTTTTCAATACTGTAGATAACAGGATAGCTTCGTTCCTTCCTCATCGAGATGAAAAGGACCGGCTATTGAGAACTTTTGTTTGGGCGGGAGCTGGGTGACACTGCCATATTGGCTGAGCAGGAACCAATCCACGTGTGTTGCAACCACCATCCCTTCAAAGCGAAACGTGCAACCATCCAGGTCACAAACGACCACCTAAGAACGCCTCGTGCTCCCCTCTTTCGTCTGGCTGCATTCAAATCGCCTCCCGAAGTCCCACTCATGCGGATGTCACCGTTACCATGTCGGGGTTCGAAGCTACAACGATGAGGGACCGGGGACAGCATATCAAGTATGCTCGACTTTCCACGTCGTCAGCTCCGCCGGAGACGCTGCCTACCTTTGATGTTCATGAGGCGACCCAGCGCATCTTGGATCATCATCTGGAGAGCTTCAAGAGCAGTAAGAAAAGGCAACTGATCATGACGAGCTCAATTTTTGTTGGTGTTTTGGTGTTTCTTTATTGGGTTCTGGGGTGAGTGTTTCGATGCTGTTTTCGCGCGGAGGTTGCCTTTGCCTCGGAACAAATTAATGGCGTTCCCCCTTTCGCCTTCGCCTGAGCATCGCTAATTCATCCCAGGAAAAACGGATATTCACTTCAAGGGTGTGATTCTGTTGAGGTTGGCTACCAATGTCAACCTGAAATCTCTCATTACTGGGGACAATATTCTCCGTACTTTGCAGTATCATCTGGGATTTCTACGGATATCCCAGATACTTGTCAAGTGACCTTTGCACAAGTGCTCTCACGTCACGGTGCTCGGGACCCAACTTCTGGAAAGACAAAAGTATACAATGAAACTGTCAACCAAATTCATGCCAAAGCCAAATCTTACGGAGTAGGCTATGAATTTCTCAAAAGCTATGAATACACACTCGGCGCAGACCAATTGACCCAATTTGGTCAACAACAATTGATCAACTCTGGAAAGAACTTCTACAGCCGCTACCATACTCTCGCTCTCAACACCATTCCGTTCATTCGAGCATCAGGTCAAGACCGAGTTGTGGAATCCGCTCAGAACTGGACCCAAGGATTCCACGAACTCCGTCTAGAAGATAACCCCGCCAAGGTCTACTGGCCATACGACATTCTTCAGATCAGCGAAGATGCTGACTCAAACAACACCCTTAACCACTGTCTCTGCCGCGCATTCGAGAACCCCGCAATCGACATCAAAGGCCTCGCCATGAAAACCTGGGCCGACATCTTCACTTCCCCCATCACCGCTCGACTGAATGATAATCTCCCAGGTGTAAATTTCACTAGCGAAACCACAGTTTACATGATGGATCTATGTCCCTTCAACACCATCGCCTCACCTACAGGCGAGATCCACGCTTTCTGCTCGCTCTTCACGGAAAGTGAGTGGAACCAGTACGATTACCTCCAATCACTAGGAAAGTACTATGGCTACACATGGGGAAACCCCCTCGGCGCAACACAAGGCGTAGGATTTACCAACGAGCTCGTCGCTCGACTGACCAACACACCCGTCAACGACCACACATCCACAAACACCACCCTCGACTCCTCAAGGAAAACCTTCCCACTGGGTGGCAGCACGAGCTTGTACGCAGATTTCAGTCACGACAACGACATGACCGCCATCTTCGGTGCACTGGGGTTATACAACGCCACGAGACCGCTCTTAAACACGACAATCGAGGATGTGAGGGAGACGAATGGGTTCTCCGCATCCTGGACCGTGCCGTTTGCGGCGAGAGCTTACTTTGAGAAGATGACGTGCGTGGGAGCTGATGAGGAGTACGTGCGTGTACTTGTGAATGATCGAGTCTTGCCATTGGAGACGTGTGGAGGAGATACCCTTGGACGATGCAAGCTGAGTTCCTTTATTGATAGTCTCAGTTTCGCGAGAGCAGGTGGGAATTGGGATAAGTGCTTCGTTTAGAAAATTAGAACTATGCCCCCTTAAAATACACAGATAATAAACCATCCGTTTGATTGAACAAAACTCCAAGTCCCCTAACATTTCTGTGGGTGTTCTTTTCCCTTCTGCTTTCTCTTGTCTCTTTTTTCGTTTTGGATTTTTTTCTCTGAACTAGCCAGGTAAATGGTAGTAGTCCCTTTCATTAAAAACCGAACTCCGTTCTTCCAGTCTTTCGAATCAATTCGTAAACGCCCCTGACAAATAGTCGCCTGTCCTTGATTGAAACAGTCCCATTTCGTGACCAAATATACAAAATCCCCCCATACTCTCCCCCACATACCATAACAGTCAGCCGCTTCTATAACATATACGCGGTTCCACCGAAAACTATCATTCCCAAGCCGGTCCACCAGACGATGCTGAGATCAACCCGTTGCATGAGGGAATGCTGTTCCAATCCTCTCTTGACGTGTTTGGCGTTCTGGTTTAAGGGGAGGGGAAGCTCTGCGCCGAGGGTTCGCTTGGCTTTGGAGGCTCCTGTTGCGGCGGCGGTGGGGTTGAGAATTTGGGTTGGGAGCATCATGGGGGGTTTGTAGGCGAGGAACAAGGGTTGGATTGGGGAGCCGTCAAACATGTAGAGGTCGAGTCGCTGCATTTTTGTATAAGGATCTTCGTAGACTTGCCATTTCTGTACCTCGTTAGTCTCTCATCCTTCAGAATGGGGTTTTGGGAAGGAATAGCTTACGGCCATAACTTCGGACTGGTTGTATCGTGTGAACGTTGCATGGGTGGTGGATGTGCAGGGATTGGATTGCAGTTGTCTGCCGTCGCTGGTAAAAGGAGTAAGTGACAATGAGAGGTCTGCATTCATGACCACGGTCCCGTGTTGCCACTGCATCATTCCCATCGGACATTGTGGTTCGGCAGCTATAGAGTTTCCATCAGCATGGGAACCTGGCGTTTCGTAAGTTCCTGAGAGGGAAACCTACGGTTTGAAACAGCGCGGTAGTATGCCGACTCGTAAAATCCATCTTCTGTGAACGAGTAGGAAATCCCAGTGTGAGTTGGCTCGATAAAACTATCGTTGACTGGATTGTAAAAGCCCTAATTCCTCCTATCAGTATTTCTGCTTTCCCCAAAAATTTATCGTTGTTGTTTTCTCTTCCTCCTGCCTCCTGTTCCAAGAATAGACGTACCGGACCCGTTATCACTTTCGCGGACTTTGATGACCATGTTCCTACTAATTGGGGGTCGATGGCAGCAGATGCGGAGGTTGCCAGGAATGCGCCTGCGATCAATAGCGACGGTAGGGAGAGGGATGGCATTGTTGCGGTTGAACGAGTGGTGATGGTCGGAAAGTTGGTTTGACAGCACGGGAGAGGCAGGTTTGGTACGCAGGCGGAATCCTGGAACGGGGATGGTAAGCGTAGCGTAGGCGCAAGGTACCAGCCACTGTGGCGCAGCTCAAAAGTGACAACCCCTGTCTTGGCTTACTTTAGCTTCAATTATGATTCAAAACTAACTGCGCATGAGATGAATTTCAGATCCAGAAATTTTGACCGGTTTGAGCGATTTTGGAAGGTTATCTCAAATCAGATTCCAGCCGTTTTTCATTGCATGACACACGCTCATAATATAGGCATCTCAGCCTCTTTCTTCTGAGTTGAGGTTGCTCTCATCACACGAGTATCGGAGTATGGCTCAACAACCGACAGAAACCTTGAACAATCTAGATACCGCGGATATGGCTGCTTCCGTAGCATTAAAGACAGCAAAGAAGGAGCTCCGGACTTGGATGAAGGGAAAACTCCACCAGATTTCCGAAGACGTACTCATTGCACAGAGTAGGCTCGACAAGACTCGATGATCTTAATCCTGTACTAACACTTTCCAGGCAATGCCGTCTTCCAGACACTCAACAAATTCCCATCATACCAAAAGGCACAGCGAGTTGGTATCTACTTGTCAATGCCCAAGGGAGAATTGCAAACTGATGAAATTGTCCGTCACGCTCTTGCATCTGGAAAGCAGGTTTTCGTTCCATTTCTCCACAAACCAAAGATACCCATCATCAACACACCAGTATCTGTAATGGATATGGTACGTCTGGACTCCATCGCTGATTATGAAGCTTTGAAAAGAGATAGTTGGGGGATTCCCACCATTGATAAGTTGACTGTTCGCGAAAGGGAACATGTCCTGGGAGACGAAACTGAAAAGGCAGATTTGGATATGATCTTGGTACCAGGTGTGGCTTTTGATTTGAGTCCAGAGGGACTCGTAAGAAGACTTGGGCACGGGCTGGGATTTTATGATTACTTCTTGCACAGATACAGCACATCACATGGAAATGAACTATCACTTGGACCAAGAACGAGTCCATTGCTGTATGGTTTAGCTCTCAGAGAGCAATTCCTAGGAGTAGGAGTAGAAAGTGGACTATCCATACCGGTTGGGGAGCATGATTGTCTTTTGCATGGAGTGCTGGTAGGTGACGGAACGTTTGTGGATACCATCAACAAAACTGCTTGAGATTCCTCCAACTCCCATAGCTGAATCCGAGGATCACAAGAACTCCATCTACATATTTCCTTTTATTTGCCACCCATGGTTTTTATCGGTATTTTGGCGCCGTAGATTCCCTTCAAATTGTCAAATCAATAACGCCTTTTTAGTGCATTCATCCGTTGAGACTTTGAATCAATGACACATTGTCTCCCTTCAACAAAATTTGTCCTATGAACCAGTCAGCAAGAGCCCCCGGGTAGTCAACGGAACTAATTTCGTACCTAATGATCTTCTGCTCTCCTCTGTAGTCTTTGTCGCCTGCTTAACCTCCACCGCGTCGTCAATCACCAAGTTCATAAACTCATCAAAACCCTACAACCATATCAGTCAACACAAATTCGTCTCTGCGCCAAATGGGCGGTACGATAGATTCCGACTTACTCTTATTCTTCCCTCGATTCTAATCGCCAGCTGCTCATACAACCAAATCTGGACGGTAGAGTGTTGTTGGAGGAGTTTGAAGATGAAGTTGATTGGTGGGAGTAGGACTTTGCGCCCACCGCCTCCACCACCGCGATTCATTTTGAATTTGGGTTGAGTGTATGAATAACCTTGACGTTGGATCTGGCAGAGGTCCTCGAGCAGCTGGTAGGGACAAGAGGGCGATTCGCAGTGTGTACTTGGCGCGTGCAAAGAGTATTGGGGGGTTGTGAACGTCGGCTGGAGCTTTTGACAAGGCTGGCAGGGAAGCGCGCTAGTGGGGATTTATTTGGAGGGCCGACACTCACCCATTCATTGCAACAACTCGCACGCTTTCACTCTTGAACAACTTCCACTCCCTTTCCATAAAATTCCTCGAATTCACCCACATTCTCTGTGCAAGCATCTAGGAGCAACAGCTAAAGTTCAAGTGGCCGAGAGGGGATCTGCAGCGGCTTTCCACACCTCTTTGCGGTCTTGCTCCCAACTTCATCCCCCCCATCTGCCCCGCCATCACCCACGGTAAATATGGCAACGGTCGCCGCCACCCAACAGGCCTTTGCGCCGGTCCTCACGGCTATGACGACTATGCGCGATGGTGAGAGAGAGCAGAAGAAACAGGCACATCAGTTCTTAGAGAGCTTCCAGAAATCGGTGCGTCGCATCATTGGGGATACACACAAGAGGGGATTTTCAAGGAACTTTGTCGCTGACAGTTTCTACAGAGCGAAGCATGGCAAATGACTATTGGAATCCTGAAATCTACGGCTGATGTTGAGGCCAAGCTGTTCGCTGCTACAACGTTGAGAGGAAAGGTAGGTGGGACTGATGACCCATATTCCACCTGCTAATTTGGTAGATAACATACGATGCCAATCAAATACCTGCCGATGCTCTTCCTGCGCTCCGAGACCAGATCCTGGAACTTCTTAAAGAATTCGCAGCCGGTCCACGACCAATCCGAATCCAACTATGCGTGTGTTTGGCCACCTTGGCTATTCAAATGACGGGATGGAAAGATGTGGTGCAATTAGTGGGCACAACTTTGGGCGCCTCTACTGAAAGTCACGCCTGTATTCTCGATTTCCTAAAGGTTCTTCCCGAAGAGGTCACCGAAGGACGAAAGATCAATTTGACAGTATGTGGGCCGAAATACACCATCCCGCGAGCATCTGTAACGACGTTTGGTTGGGGAGAGATTAGCGTATAAGAGTCTAATGCGTACAATTAGGAAGATGAGCTATTTCAAAGAACACAGGAGTTACTGGGAGATAACGCGACCCTGGTTGTACAACTTCTTATCAACTATACTCAATCATCCGGTATGTTTTCCCTCTTCATTCCATGAACCACATACTAAATCCATGCAGAATCGGCTTCCACGAATCCACAATTCCTCGAAGTTATCACATCCTGGCTTCGGGAGGTACCGGTGGGGGATGTTGTCAACTCCCCACTTCTAGACATTATATTCAAGGCATTGGATTCAGATAGATCTTTTGAGGCTGCGACGGATTGTTTGTGTGCAATTTTCAAAGAGACACGTGAGGTCGACGAGTACCTCTCCACTATTCAGGTTCTTTTGCCTCGTGTTGTTGCACTTCGTCCTCGTATACGACAAGCCGCGGCAGAAGGAGATGCTGATGCGGATCTTTACAAAGGATTGACTAGAATCTTTTCAGACGCTGGGGAAGCATGGGTGGTTTTGATTGCTCGTGAACCTGTGGCTTTCCGACCACTTGTGGAAGCGGTCTTGGAGTGCGCAGCTTTGGACTCAGACCGGGATGCCGTTGCTCTGACTTTTAACTTCTGGTATGAGTTGAAGCTATACCTTGCCGTCGAGATTTATATCCAAGCCCGGGTCCAGTACGTCGACGTATTTTCAAGTTTGGTCGACATAATGCTCAAGCAGCTGGAATTTCCTGCCGAAACTCCAGGTGAAACGGATCTTTTTGATGGAGATCGTGAAGCTGAGGAAAATTTCCGAGAGTTCCGACACCATATGGGAGATGTGTTGAAGGATTGTTGCGAAATTATGGGAGTGACGGAATGTCTCTCCAAGGTTCTGGATCGTATAAAAACATGGATGGGGGCTTATGCAGGTCAAGCAACAGCCAACTCTGTTCCCCACTGGCAACAACTCGAAGCACCTCTGTTCAGCATGCGGGCGATGGGCAAAATGGTTGACAAAGATGAAGATATCATTTTACCACAGATCATGCCTCTAATTGTTCAGATCCCTCATCATGAAAAATTGCGATTTGCTACAATCATGGTCTTGGGTCGCTATACGGAATGGACTTCAAACCATCCGGAACTTTTGGAATCCCAGTTCACGTATATCGTCTCGTCATTTGCAACCGACTCCAAGGAAATTATTCGGGCGGCAGCTATGTCTATGAAGTACTTTTGTACAGATTGCAAACACTTTCTGAGTGGACAGGTGGTACAACTGCAACAGTTCTATGACCAGACTCTTGACAGTCTCCCAGGTATCAGTCAAGAAGAACTGACTGATGGAGTTGCAAATGTTGTCGCAGTTCAACCGCCCACCCAAACTTTCGAACTCCTCAAGCTTTATTGTGACCCTTTGATGACTAGATTGATGGCCAAGGCCAACGCAGCTACAGACGATGAAGGAAAGCTCGCGGTCGCAGGTTCGTACATATTCTTGTAATCTTTCCCGGTCCTAGCTAACCTGTCATAGACCACATGCAGTTAATCACAATTTTCATCCAGAATGTGAAGCCATACGTTGAGCCCGGACAGGAAAATCCTGCTGTCAAGTATTGCCAGGAGATCTTCCCTATTCTATCCACCATATTGGACACCTTTTCAACATTTACACCAATTTGTGAACGTATCTGCCGTTGCTGGAGACATATGGTTCTCTCATATCGTACTGCAACCAGTCCCCTCCTGCCTCAAATGGCAAACAAACTTGCTAGCGGATTTTCTACGTCGAAGCAGGGGTGTTTCCTCTGGGCTACGAGCGCTATCCTCAGAGAATTCTCGGAAGATCGGGAACATGTGGATGAAAATACTACCGAGTCCATATATTCTTTCTTTGAGGTTCAATCGAGAAACATGCTTCAGACAATGAGCGATTTGCCACCACAAGACTTGCCTGATGTTATCGAGGATTTCTATCGTCTATTAGTGGATGCGTTACTCTATTACCCACACAAGTTGATTGGCTCCGATATTTTCGCGCCTATCTTGCAAGCCGCTGTAGCAGCACTGTCTCTCCAGCAAAGAGAGCCCCTTACTGCAACCCTCCACTATATTCGAGACGTTATTGGGTATGGGGGTGACAATCCGCCAAGCTCAAGCAGAAGCCCAAATCCAATTGAGATTCAAAATGCGGTAAAGGCACTTTTGGTCGCCAATGGCGAGCACCTTGTGAAGTCAATCTTGGCTGGTATGATGATTACTTTCCCGGATGACTGCTTCACAGATGGTAGCGGTGCGCTTTTGGGCCTATTCGAAATATTGCCTGAGCAGACAGCTTTGTGGGTTGACAAGACAGTCCGCTTGCTTCCTGCTGGTACTGTTCGTGAGGCAGAAATTGATCGGCTTATGTCGGGGATTCAGGAACGTCTGGCGCTCGGGAAGGATGGTTTCCGCAAGGTCCGCAGTCTTCTGCAAGATTTTACAAACGCCTATCGAAGACGATATGTCGCCCCTAGGGATGGATTAGGCAGTCTGGAGGCGGAGAGATTCCATTACCAGGCCTGATAGCCTCCAACCCGAGAGGAGAATTTATACCCCCTTTACTGATAATCTCTCCTCCGTTCCATATTTGGTTTTTCAGTTTAGTCCTTTTCTTTTATGTTGGGTTTGGTTTGTTGCATGGCATAGCGATGGAGATTGGTCAAATCTCAAGGGTGTGAGTTTAGAGGCTTGGGTTTTTCGGCCTATTGTGGAGGATGAACGGGTTGGGTTGGCTTGGCTTGGAAGCGTGAAAAAAGATATATCGTAGGTGGTTGGTTGGTATGATGGGAAGAGGGATGGATGAATGGATGAATGGATGAATGGATGAATGAATGGATTGATGGGTGAGAGGCATATTTGAGCGTATACATGGAACTGAATGGATGGAGTTACGGAGGTGATATCTTGTTTTCTCCTTTCAACCGTTCGTTTCTTTCGCTTTTACTTCTCAAGAGAAGATGAGATATCGTGGCGACAGGTAGGAAGTGAAAGCAGAAATGGAAAAATTATATTTGGACATTGTAGTACCGGTAGTCAAGATTTTTCATTCCATGAGTCTGCGGTAATAGAGGTGTTATATTTCCTTAATCAAGGGAGGAAGAAAAGGACCTGCTTTACTAAATTACTGTCTTTATATAAAGACGAGACAAGAACTTATCACCCTAAACCCGAAGCTGAAAAAATAACTCGAGACTAAAATCAGAAAATAAAAAGGTACCTAGAACCTGGGTACGTACCTAACCACTTCTCCCTTCTCTTCCCATTCCTCTTCCCTCCGTCCTCTCCTTCTATACCCCTCGGCTCCCTCCCCATCTCCCTTTCTCCCCATCTTTTGACTCTTTTCTCTTCACTTCTCTTCTCTTCTCTTTCTCTTATGTGCTTAAAGTACACCCCCATCCCAAGCCTCTTTTCGCCTCATGAACGCTAGCTCTATCCACTGCATCAACCAAACCCAGTCCTCACATCCACACAACCATCCACCACAAATCACCAAAAACCCATAAACCCATCCAGCATCAAGAAAGAAATTTTGTTTAAAAAGGCGCTTTTTTAATTATTTCTACATTATTCATTTACACATTACTGCATTAAGTCGGTGCATGTCATCCATCTCGCGCCGCCATGCAAATATCATATCATACCATGCCACGCCATGCCATTTCTCATCATCCCCAAAAATCAAACACCAAAAAGCGCTCGTTCTACGGCGATTTCCCTTCATCACCGGGTTCGTTAAGCAGTAGTCGGCCGAGGTATCGGAGTTCGTAGCAACGAGAATTGACGGGGTCGAATTGTGGTTGGTTGCGAGCTCGGGAGACTTGTTCCTCTAAGTTAGGGATGTTAGCTTATGTAAATCTGAGGATAGAAGTAGGAATGTCATGGGTGCGAAGAAGACGTACCAGTGACATAAAGCTTGCGGAAGAAGTTTCTATGAACCTCGGAAATGTCGGTGTGGATAACGCCATCGGGGGTGAAGGTAACAACAGGTGTAACATTCTTCAAATGTAAAAGCATATTGAGCATATTAGTGACATCTTCAGCTTGTGTAGCAAATTGAAATGGTGGTTGGGCGAGTGGCCAGTCCTTGAGAAGATTTTCTTGCTCCCAAAAATTGAAGAACCATGTACATTTTTCCAGGCAGTTGAGGATAAGGATACCAGTCAGGAAGATCTCGAAGGATTGTCTGAAACCCTGACCCAGAAGATGTTTTTCAATATTCGCTAGAACCTCTTTCGTAAGTTGTGCAGCTTTTCTTTCGACAACGGAGCCGAGCTGTGAATTGACGAGGCGCCAGGATCGTCCATCGATTACCTCTCCACCGCCTACTGGGTTTTGACCACCGAATCTTGATGTCAAGTTCCATCTTACCTCATGGTCCACCAGGATATGTACCGTACCCCAAAGCTCCAGTGCTTTGTTGAGAGTTTCTCGATGAAGTGCATTTATAGAGGTTAGGTTGACAACAGTATCCAATGTAGTTCTCATGAACTCAGAGGGTTCGTGTTGAAAGAAGTAAGATTGCATCTGTCGGGTATAAACGTCCATCTTTGCTCCTAGATCATCATTATCTTGATCAAGGATATATACAGTCTGATTTTCAAAACTCTCTCCCATTGCCGGATCCATATTTGCGTCAACCGTAGCTTGGCCTTCAAGAACCTTGAAACTGGCGAAAATTTGGGTTTCGGGGTGGAGCGAGGCGTCAATCTCTACTGCACATGCCTGAAATTTGGTTTGATCCATCGCTGCTTTGAGATTGTTTGTCATAAGATGCTGATGCATACCTGCAGCAAACATACCCATTTCTGCGGGAAGCCGCTTGCGGGAGCACTCACTCTTCCAAACGCGAGCACAGTCAACGTCTTTACAGGTCTGACAAGGTGTGCCTTCCCCACAGCATTTCTTTAGGAACCTACACCGAGTACAAGCGCCCAGCTTCCGAATGCTTTGCACTGCAAGACGCCGTGAATGGCTGAACTTGGATCGGGATTTCTGTGATTTTTTGTTTGAATTTCGTTTTCCATCTCCTGGCTCTGCACTGAATTCTGTGGTCATAGACTCTACAGAAGGGACTTGAGGAGATTGAAATCTTAATTGTTGTACAGGCTCAATGCTCTCTCGGACTTGCTGCTCCTGGAAGTTGTTGTGAACCGATCCTTCCCTCCACGGAGATGCTGCGTCCCCAGAGGGATGATGAACGAAACTGTCAGGCATGGAAGCATTGGCTTCTTGAATAGCCTGTACAAAATCTCTTTCTCCAGAAGTGATGGGGATATGAGAGGTCATGGGTGGCTCGTGGTTTACTAATTCTGGGTCAAGCATATTCGGGCTGAAGCTGGCAGAAGCAAGCTGCGCCATCGAGGTTGCTTTTGCTGCCATTGCTATATTTGGTGAAGAGGAGCGAGAGGCCGGATTATACATAGAATGTGTGTGTGAGGGCAGGCTGCTGCTGCTTCCAAATGAAGGAGGGTGTTGGTTGATCGAGTGAGGCGGAACATCCATCCCGGGAGAATGACCATTGTGTAGACTCGTGTTAAAGGCGCGAGCTTTGGCAGCCTCAATCATCATTTGTTGTTCTCGTCGTTGCTGCTCCAGGACTAAAGGAATTAATTAGCTTTTCGTAGCTGAATGGACGTTCGAGCCCTTACTCTTCTTCTCTCGTGAGGCGCGCTGTTCATAGCTGACTGGCGGATTATCTAAAGTATATTGTTCTTGAAGCTTCAGGTGATTTGAAGAAGCATGAGCCGGGCTTCCTCCTGCTTGATTATGTGGTTGCTCAAAGTTCTTGGACACCTCGGCCAGGACCTCGAGGGCACTCAAACTGAAGCCGTTTTGCGCGGGTACAATAGGGCGATTCGGGGGACCTTGAATTGTGTATGTGCCATCATTGGGAAGTCCATTTTGTGCCAATATCGCGGTATCTCTAACATGCTGGGGTAGATTTGGACATTTTCGAATCAAGTGAGCCATCAGCGCATCGCATCTGCCCTTTGCGAAAAAGACACCGCAGTTTCTACATGTGTACTGGTATCGATTCGATTGATCGTTCAACTTGCTTCCGCGTTCGAAGTGTTCGCTGATCAGAGCTAGATGCGGTCAGTAACAGCTATCTTAACTTTTAATCCTGGCAGAATTCCATATTGAGGTTGGCGCATCAGATCTTGTCAATAACAGGCAGACGGTCGGTGGACTGGATGACTCTGGACGATGTGGTGGAGCAATAGGAGAAATAAAGACACTTACGATTTGGTTTTCTTCCCATCGTGACAGATCAGGCGGACCTGCCAAATGATTTCAGCCAGAAAGCTTCAATTACTGCAAATCCCAATCAGAGATACTTGATGATAATCGCAGGAGGAGGGGTGTAGAGCGGTGAGGTTGTGGGGTGTTGTTAGCGTGGTTGGGAAACTTAAATCCGATAGTTCCTCCAGTGCCTCGGTTATCTATCCCAAAACCAGCAGTGAATACAGGATAGATCTATTCATCATTAACGATTCCATTTTGTTAACATATTTGCTTTGATTTTCATTTCAATCTCAATGTGACAAAGTACCTATGACGATTTCTGAAGAATCTAATGGTCCTTTACAGCTTATGTTGGGCGGATTATTTAAAGAGCATGTTTTCAAAGGGTAACAAGAAGTACGTAGTATTATTATGTAAATATGTAAGTTCCACAAGCATCCTATTGATTTGAGAATTGCTCACGGTAATTACAGGAAAGTGTGCTCTATCGTTTTTCATGTTTTAGGGCTCGTAGTCCACTCTATTAAATTTCAATGACTTCTTTTACCTTTCTATCCCTACCCACAACTAACCTCAATTGCTTTCCTTTCTCCTTTATCACGCCCTCCCTCACACCATCCACAAATAATTCGTATGCTGGAAAATATCCATCTACAAAGTTCCTTACCTGTTCCATACTCATGCCAGTCCCTTTAACTCTCCTTAATTCCGCTTCCTGCTGCTCTCTCCATTCGTAGACCCATCTTGTGTCCTCGGCATCAATATGGATAAACGCATTGTACTCATCCGTCAAAACGTCATACTCTTTCAGCTTTTCATTCACAAACAATAAATCTTCTAATTTGTGGTCTGCGAAAGTGAGAGATGGAGCCTCTCGTTTCGAGGCAACAGTAGCAGATGGAAGAGAACGAAACCCGATACACCAGCCCTCGAGTATGATGACTCGAATTGGAGGGCTTCCGGGGCCGTTTACTGTGTGCCAACTAGAAGAAGGTGCGCGGTCGCCTAGTCCCTGATGGAGAGATTTATCATAACTCGGGATCTTGGTCTCTTTATTGGAGAGAAGGGATGCAATCACTTGACGAGCGAGTATCATATCGTGTGTCCCTGCCACCTGGTTAGCAATACCCCACCGACTCACCTTTCTCTCGATAGATGGACGAACCAGGTTCTCCCCGGTATTGTACGAGTTTGTTCTCCGCATTCTCTGTTGCTAATTTGATCTGGGCTTCTCGTGGGAGGTAGAGATCATCTATACTCAACACCAAAGTCTCCAGCCCCTCTTTTTCCAGCAGCGTTTCCGCGAGCTTAGACACCAGGGTGGTTTTGCCAGCTCCTTGTACACCATTGAGTCCTATGATAAAAGGACGATTTGGACTGGAGGGATCTTGGAGGTAGTCATGGAGACGCGAGAGAATGAATGGGATACAATGCGGAGATTTGTCGTCAATGATTGTTTTGAGAGGTGGGGTTCCTCCAACAAGAGCTGGAAAGCTTGGAATATTGTGGGGTGTGGGGTTGCCGGTTGCCATGATGACGGCTTTTGTTGTTGTCTTTAGTGGACGGAAAGAGGAAGAGAAAAGGGGTTCACGGTTGTAAGCGAACGAAAGAATTGGTGAAGCATTTCGAATCGCGAGCCTGAGTGAATTGCCTACAAAATGGATTCTTGGACTCAAGGCGGAAGTGAGTTTATCCATGATGAATGCTTCACTGGAACGGCTATTCTTCGGAGAATCCACAACAGCTTTGAAGCCCGTCCAGCCACCTCTGGCAGCAGCAGCCAGTTGAGGCGTTCTGTTTTCACATGGAAAGTCAGCCATTTCCAATTCTGAGAGATGATGGGGCTCATTGGATCTGTACTGCAGAGAAGTGAATCGTTCTAATTATAAGAAAAAATCGACTGGCACGTGGCTTTGGTTCTCATCATGAATGCCGTCTTTTCCATGTGAAGGTCTTGGTGTGGGGTTCTCACCTTCTCCAGCTTCTGAAGTCATGGCCAAGGGCCAAGGTGGGACAGGGGGCTGCTGCTGGCGCTGCTGCGTTGCCGCCAAAATATACCGAGGCATGTGAGCATGAGCCATGAGCCATCAAGCCGAGTGCGAACACAGCGGTGCACTGCACTCTATTTTGCATACGAGTACTTAGCCAAACTCTCCCCCATCTACTTGACTCGTCTGACCTCATTTTCCTTGTTACTCCTCATCTCTAGTATCTCTCATACATCTCGAGCGTGATTTGCTTCATTGCATACGGTCTCGATATATCTCAACACAATGTCCGAATTACGATATGATGGCCAGGTCGTCGTGGTAACCGGAGCTGGAGGTGGGCTCGGAAAGGCATATGCTCTGTTCTTTGCTTCAAGAGGTGCCAGTGTGGTGGTCAACGACCTGGGAGGATCGTTCAAGGGAGAAGGGACCTCCTCAAAGGTACGTCCTGGTCTCCGTCTCCATCCGATGCTTCTTTCTAACGGGCAAAAACCACAGGCAGCGGATGTGGTCGTCGACGAGATCAAAGCCGCTGGCGGCAAAGCTGTAGCCAACTACAACAGTGTCACCGATGGTGACAAGATCATCGAAACCGCCATTAAAACTTACGGCAGGATCGATGTTCTCCTCAACAATGCTGGTATCCTCAGAGATATCAGCTTTAAGAACATGTCCGACAAAGACTGGGACTTGATCATCGATGTTCATGTTAAGGGTTCATATAAGTGTGCAAAGGCTGCTTGGCCACACTTCAGGAAACAAAAGTATGGACGAGTCATCAACACTGCCTCTGCTGCTGGTCTTTTTGGAAGTTTCGGACAGTGCAATTACTCTGCAGCCAAATTGGCCATGGTTGGTTTCACCGAGACTTTGGCAAAGGAGGGAGCTAAATATAACATCTACGCAAACGTTATTGCCCCAATTGGTAAGATTTCGGACTCCTGTTTTCAGGCCAACTTCTAATCCGTTATAGCTGCCAGCAGAATGACCGAGACTGTCATGCCACCGGATGTTCTTGCAAGCCTCAAACCAGACTGGATTGTTCCACTAGTTGCCTGCCTTGTTCACAAAGATTCCAAGGAGAACGGATCTATCTTCGAAGCTGGAGGCGGACACGTTGCAAAGCTCAGATGGGAACGTTCCAATGGATTGTTGTTAAAGGCAGATGATACATATACACCAGGTGCTATTTTGAAGAAGTGGGACAAAGTTAATGACTTTTCCAAGGACGCTCAATACCCAACCGGTGTAGCTGATTTCATGGGCTTACTTGAGGAATCCATGAAGATGGGTCCTAACGATAAAGGGGAAACTCTTGATTTTAAGGGCAAGGTCGCCTTGGTTACTGGTGGTGGCGCTGGGTAAGCAATTCAAGCTCAATAACGAATCGATGATATACTAACTTGGTTTAGAATTGGCCGTGTCTACTGCTTAGCATTCGCAAAATACGGCGCTTCTGTTGTCGTCAATGATTTGATGAACCCAGACGACGTTGTCAATGAAATCAAGAAGCTCGGTGGAAAGGCAGTTGGAGTAAAGGCTTCTGCTGAAGATGGAGATGCTGTTGTCAAGGGCGCTATTGACGCCTTTGGCCGAATCGACATCATTGTCAACAATGCTGGTATTCTCAGAGACAAAGCATTCACCAACATGGATGATAAGATGTGGGATCAAGTAATGAACGTTCACTTGAGAGGTACATACAAGGTCACCAAGGCCGCATGGCCATATTTCCTCAAACAGAAGTATGGACGTGTTGTCAACACCACCTCAACCAGCGGTATTTACGGAAACTTTGGGCAAGCAAACTACGCAGCAGCAGTAAGTCCCCTGGTATAATTATATAACCCAACAAGAAAACTAACCCAAATAGAAATGCGGAATCCTTGGTTTCTCAAGAGCTCTTGCTCGCGAAGGTGCCAAATACAACATCTTCGTCAACACGATCGCTCCAAACGCTGGTACTGCTATGACAAAGACCATTTTACCACCAGAGTTGGTAGAGGCTTTCAAGCCAGATTACGTAGCTCCTTTGGTTGTCGCCCTCTCCTCAGACAAGGTTCCAAAGCCACCAACTGGAATGCTTTTCGAGGTCGGTAGCGGCTGGGTTGGACGTACAAGATGGCAAAGATCTGGAGGACATGGGTTCCCAATTGATGTCACCTTGACACCAGAGGAGGTTGTGAAGAACTGGGCCAAAATTACCAACTTCGAAGATGGCAGAGCGGATAACCCAGAAGACCCACAAGATGGATTGAAGAGCATTATGGCCAATATGCAGAACAAGAAGGGTTCCAGCAAGGTATGATCCTTGCCTGTTATACTTAGCCTTTTGTACCATTATAGTCTTACGCCAAAAAATCAAAGTAATTATTAACTTGAATTTCGTGCCAACAGAAGAGTGTTGATAGTAATGTCAACCCCGAGATTCTTGCAAATATAGAAAAAGCAAAGAAGGCACAAAACGCCGGTACTGAGTTCAAGTACGAGGATAGAGATGTCATCCTTTACAATCTTGGTGTTGGAGCGAAGAAGACTGATTTGCCACTGGTTTTGTAAGTTGCTTCAGGTCTTGTCTTGTCTTTTCCAATGCTAATAATGGCATCAGCGAGGGTGACGAGAACTTCCAATCGCTCCCAACTTTTGGCGTCATTCCATTTTTCTCCGCTGAAATGCCCTACACCTTTGATGACATTGTCCCAAATTTCTCCCCCATGATGCTCCTCCACGGCGAGCAATATCTTGAGATTCTTCAATACCCAGTTCCCACCGCAGCCACCCTTCATTCACATGTTAAACTTCTCGAGGTCGTTGACAAAGGTTCTGCGGCTATCGTGAAGTCTGGGATCACCACCGTGAACAAGGAGACCGGCAAACCACTTTTCTACAACGAATCAACAGTCTTCATTAGAGGATCCGGTGGTTTCGGAGGACAAAAGAAGCCTCTGGATCGAGGAGCCAGTACCGCAGCTAACACGCCCCCTAAGCGGGCCGCGGACTGTGTTGTTGAGGAAAAGACTACCGAAGAACAAGCTGTCTTGTACCGTCTTAGCGGTGACTACAATCCACTCCACGTAGACCCAGCTTTCGCCAAGGTGGGAGGTTTCAAGGTTCCTATCCTTCACGGCCTCTGCTTCTTTGGTATTGCTGGAAAAGCCATCTATGCCCAATTCGGCAAGTTCAAGAGTATCAAGGTTAGATTTGCTGGAACTGTTCTGCCTGGCCAGACTTTGGTCACGGAGATGTGGAAGGAAGGCTCAAAGGTCATCTTCCAGACTAAGGTGAAGGATACTGGGAAATTGTGTATTTCTGGGGGTGCGGTGGAGTTGATTGATGAGGGGAAGACTAAGTTGTAGGCTTGTGTATAGTGGTATTTTTGTATTATAGGGGTTGAATTTAGTGCTTTTGAAGATTTTTGAGCGTGAAAGTGATTTGGCTGATTGTGCTAGAATGCTCGCTTAATTGTTTTACCATCAGAGAACCTTCAGTTGATGGTATTTGGTTATTCCAGATTGGCATGATAATCGTGTATTATCCTACTGGCACGATGGGGAGAATGAGATAACTGGTAACATTGGCGAAAATGGAGGAGACTTGGGCGGGTTGATTATTCCTGCTTCATTGGGAAGTGAGCGAAGGCTTTGTGCAACTGTTCGCACCTGCATTTTCTCAGGTTTGAACCAGAAGCACAAGACGATTCCTTCCAGCAAAGACAATCAATTGTAGAAGGCAAGCACAATCTCCGAACCACGCACATGTATTCCCTTATATTGTAATCTCGCTCCTTCGTGCTTCTCTTCTTCCCTTCCACAGCACACATCAGATTTTTGGAAAGCTCACATCATCAAAGGACATCCTCATCACCTGAAAAGGTTGTATCGTTGGGAGACCATATCATCGTCAGTACACATCAACATCAAACCTCCCACAACACAACTCTCATACTACACTCTCCATACCATACTTCCATCCACCATCTACTGTAACTCGTCAATACCACCCACCATGGACGAATTCAACCGCCTCCAAAAGGACCTCCAAAAAAGCCTCCAAGAAGAAGACCTCTCAGAAGAACTCAAAGAAGAAACCATCAAACTCGAAGAAGTCGAACAAGACCTCCTAGCCAGCGCCAAAGAAATCGACCGTCGCGCCTCCCAACTCGAGCGCTCCCGCCTCCGCAACTCGCAAGAAACAGAAGCCAACTCCATCGAACAAGATGCACTGGCACTCATGCGCGCCAACCTGACAGCCGGCAAGACGGTGCTGAAACGCTCGCACGACCTGGATGATGACGAGATGGAGGCTGATGCGGAGTCGATGCGCTGGCAGCTGGCTCGTTTGGAACGCGAGGTGGATGAGATTGATCGCCAGACGGAGGAGGCGTTGCAGGAGCAGATTAGGATCTTGACGGAGGGGATTGCGTTGAGGGTGGAGGCTTTGGCGATTGAGGGGTTGGAGGAGGATGAGTCGGTGCTTGCCGCGGAGATGTATGAGATGAAGAAGGCGTTGAGGGAGAAGAAGGTTTTGGAGTTGGCTTTGAGGTTGAAGAATGAGAGGGAGAGGGCGGAGAGGAGGAGGGAGGGAGGTAAGTTGCGGCTTGTGACGGATGGGGAGGGGGGAAGGGTTAAACAAGAGGATGGGGGGAGGGTTAAGAAAGAGGAGGATGGGGAGGAGAAGGGTAAGGAGAATATTAAGAAGGAGCCGAGTGAGGAGTAGAGGGGATTGGTACGCTGACATGTTTATGTTTGTGGGCTTGAGTAGACTTTGAAAGCCCCCTTTTTTGGACCCTGGATGGGATACATCGGTTATTGTTGTTTTCTTCTTTCTGTTCATTCGCTTAAGGGCTGTATGGTATGAGAGGTTTCTGTTGCAGTGTTTACTATGGAGATCAAAGCCAAGCAGCGTTAGAAATGATTTGATTTGATTTGATTTGATTAATAGTACTTAATTAAATCAAATCAGATTAATATATCGATTAATCAAATCAAATCGCCAAGTAATCGGATTAATTCAGATTAATTCAGATTACTTCAGATTAATACGGAGTCCGATCGGTCCGAGACTCGGGGTAGAGTTCTAGGCCTCGGGGAGGAGTCCGGGGCCTTAGGGTAGAGTCCGGGGTAGTCCGACCTCCCTATATAATATATAAGTAAAACTTATAAAGTTTTTATATAATAAGACTCTTTCCTTACTTTAGTAGAAGGCTTATAGTACTAATTCTTTGTTATGACTAGTATAGAGGGTCACGTGGAATCATATAACCTACTTTATAATATCTTATAGAATAGGAATATAATAACACAAGAGACTCTAAAGGCTATACTAGTAATAAGCCTGATAAGCTAGGGGTGTTTCGTAAACAAGGACAAGGATATACTACTAAAAGGCGCGTTATTCTTTGTACTTTAGTTACTATTTATAGTACTACATATTAATTAATTAATACTCTGATTGACCAAATCAGTTAATCAAATCAATTCAACTAGACCTGTTAATCAAATCAAATCAATTCAAATCTGAATAATTCAGAGTATTAATTGATTAGTTGATTATTTTTTTTCCAACGCTGAAGCCAAGGGGACTAGAAAGAAAGAAGTCTATTTGTACTCGAGGAGTGTAGTTGAGAAGAAACACTCTTTAGTCTTTTTCAACAACATTGAATGAATACTCTCCTATTTACTAATTCCCTACTGCAGATGCGCCCCGCCTTCCAGACACGGGCTCTCCCATTACAGTATTTCGTCATACGAGTACAATTATTTTCTAATTCCTCACAACAAAAAGTAGGGGATTTTCAAATATATAAAATCTACCTTAACACTTTCGACGGAAGATTCTTTTCTACTAATACGGCACTTTGTGATACTATTACTTTTCTCGTTAACTGTACGGTTGTATTTATAATTGATAATTGATATAGCTATAAACCTGGACCTGGACAGTTTCTTGAAGGCTTGTATATGTATACAGTAAAATGTGGCTGGATTTACGTCGCGCCTTCAAAGAAAATTGGAAATCAATGACGTTGTCTAGACAGAAGGAAAGAGAAAGAGGGAAAGAGAAAGAAGGAAAGGGAAAGAAGGAAAGGGAAAGAAGGAAAGAGAAAGACCTAGAGTACAAGTACATTTTTCTTTTAACAATTTGCCCGCCCATTGATACCCGGTCCCATAATTAGCACGAATACTCACACTAGCTATATAAGTGATAATAAGGGGATTTCTGAATTATATATTATACTATAAGAAGAATACGAGTAGATACGAGATTTCTTTCTCTCTTAATAGAGAAGAAAGAGGATTTTAATAGGATGTAGATTGGAAGTCTGAAGTCTGAGGGAAATGTTGTAGGATAGTAGAGTGTCGGGGACTATAGGTAGTGCTAGACTTTGTACGTTGCTACTTGGTACTTGGTACTCTTTTATAGAAAGTAATGGTTAGTAGTGGTTAGTACTAGTGTATATTTGGGTGAACAAGCCGAGGTATTCGTTTGATTAGACGGAATATTGTGGTTAGTTTATAATAAACACTCTTTATAGTAAGTATACTTATTGCGAGTAGTACAGTATAAGTTAACTTTATTTTTAACTTTGTAATATCGTTATAATATTATATATTTCGTACTATATAATATAGTACTTCGAAGGAACTCGAGACGGAGGCCTACGGTTCTATTTTATATAATCCTTTATCCTAGACGAAAAAAACATATAGTTTTCAAGGATTTTTACCCTTTTACAAACCTTAGTTACCCTAGTAAAGCTATATTTAATATACTTCGCCTAGGAGGCTAGGACGAAGGAAGTACTATAATATAGTAATCTATATAGACTCTTTACCCTTACTATAGCTATACTAAACCCCCTCCTCCGCCGGAACTACCTTACTACTTATAGTACTACTCGAGTACTCTTCCTTTTTTAAAGTATCGTCTATAAATTATAGTAAGGTTCTAGATACCTCGGGTCTCCCCGCCTTTTCAGTTTGAAGTTTCTAATATAAAAGGGGGTAGGTAGCGAGTTAGAGCTAAAGTAGGTACTGTTACACAGATCATATATATCAGATGGTATTTATAGGTTAGACTACCGTACTTCCTTGTACCGCTTAGAGCGATCGGTTACAAGTATAGTAGATAGATACTACCTACTCTTCTCGAATATCTACTTTTAGCTAGTGAAAGAGACGAGGATACGGTTGATGCGAGGTATCTATACGAGTAAAGAGTAGGAGTATGGAGGGAAGGAGATTTTTTCTCAAGAAGAGTGGTGTTGAATAGTTAGTTACTACGATTACAGTACTCGATCGGAAAGCTAATCCAATCGATTCCTAGACCTGTTCCTATTCACTATTCACTCAAGTCTGTTGAGTTTAGTGAATCTACCTCATTGATTCACTGCTTTTTCCCCTTACAGTACAACTCCTTGGTGATACGAAAATTGGGTTACCAAATCGGAAAAGTTCCTTACAGTCAGGTAAGATTACAGTACAGGACACGCAACACAGAGCTAGATTAATGAGAAAAATGGAATAAGTAATAACACACAGCAAAGTAAGCTCAATTAAATATTATCTATCAGAATACAATAGGTACAGTAAGTAGGTAAGTAACCGAGCAAATTTCCCGCTCAACAAATAGGTATATTGCACAACGCCAAAGCCAAATAATTTTGTCCGTGTTCTTTCCTTTCTTTTCCTTCTCCTCTCCTCAAATGAATAGCGAATAAGGGGCCGAAAGTTGAACTACATAAAAACACACGCCTCCCTATCATACATTCGAGACAATCCTGTAGTGTAGCAAGCAAATTTTCATCATCCATCATTCATATTCTCGTGAAGCTAATCCATATTGACCGGTCGGCCATCTTTAGTGTAAAACTGACTAACACGCCTTTTCTCTCGTTCGAAGTCCTGCCAACTCCCGTGTCTGCGAGATGATTGATGAAAGGGCAGTTTGCCTCCGGTATCGAGCCTCAATTGTTCAAAACAGCTCGCCCAGTGTTCTCCATTCGGCCGAGCTTTGCCGTTAATCTGTCATCCTTTCTTCGGACGAGTTGTTCTCTCTTTTCATACAACTGCTCGTACTTTGCAGCAACCTCTCGCTTGCGAGTCCTAATTTCCCGTACACTCTTCATGATATCCGCAATCTTCGCCATGATCAGCTGTCCCGCTTCTTCCCATTCGTTCTCGGGCATATGGAGAAAGAATTGCATTTGGTCCTCCCAATCTAACGTCTTTACGACGTCGAGCTGCTGTGCAAGTGTAGCTTCTCGAGGGAGTCCTTTGAGATCAATTGTTCTTTCATTGTAGTTAAATCCCCACTCCTCTCTCTTGAGTGTTGCGAAATCCATGCCCGCAAGTTCTGCGTCGGTGTAATCAACCTCGACCGCGTCATCAAACGAATCGTCATCATCTCCGTCTGCGGCATTTGAGGATGCGTGTCCGTTGAAGTCATGGTGATTGGTATCATCGACTGGAGCTGGAGAGGTAAATCCGGACGCGTCATGAAATATGTCATTTCGAGTTTGCACGTCGAGTGTATCATTTTCGAATCGCCCAGTCTGTCTTTTCTCAAAGGAACTACGGATAGGGAAGTTGTTGGTCTCGTTCATGTGTTGTGAATGGGCACGCTTTTGGGACGCACCACGTCCCGACTTTGTTGGACTCTCGGCTCGAGCTTGGTTGTTGGATGCTGCAAAACGACCGGCGATATCATTTTGACGGGCTTGAAATTCCATCTCTTGAGTTTCTCCATAATCTACTCTGGGCAAGCTGTCCTCTCCGTTCTTCCGGTGAAGAGGCTGAGATGTTGCTTCAGCGGGATTTCGAGCCATGGCTACATGGATATCTGCGTGTTGCGTATCCTCGTACTCATCACTTCCCTCTTCTTGCTCGAAGCGCACGTTTTCTGGAAAGTAACCTGGAGCTCCATCCGAACCTCCATCGAACATTTCGCCTCTCATTGACAACTCGGAATGTACATGTGCGGGAAGTTCACTCATAGTCTGGTCGAAATTCGTGGATACTGTGGTGTCAAATCCAGCGCCATCTCCTTGGTCTTCGGTCATTGCGGCACGACGACTATTGAATGGCCTATTAGGAGGGTTTCCGTTCTGGCGAGTCGGGTTGTAGGCTTGTTGTCGAGTGGGGGTTGGGGAGCGAAAATCCGTGGTAATCGTATCTCCTCTCGCCGATGGTTGAGTACGTGCACGCGTGTTCCTAACCCCAACTTTTGATCCTTTAGCCCGATCTGCTCGCTCTTGCTTTGTAGTCATAGTTGCGGTTGTAGGATCGGGTGTTGGCGTCCCAGTACGCCGTGCAAGGAAGCTGGTTACGTTCGACATGGCTGCTCAATCGTGATGTTGACAAAGTAGTACTCCTGTCGGCAGGCAGGGAAAAGACCAGGTGCCAGGTCTTTGCGCATATGACTAGCGGTATCCCACTGGAAAGTCCTATGTTACTCGAATAGCCGATACTTGGTATGAGCGCAGATGCCTGGAGACGTGGTTCCGTTGGTCGATTCCTCGGTGGATGGCTGCGGGCCTACGTCTTGGTGCTGTAACCCTGGGCCTATGTTACTGCAAGTCCGGCTGCCGTACTCGACCTTGCATCTGGCGCAAAGATTAGACAGCCGAAATCGAAAGGGAATCAATCTTGACGCGTAGGCTGGCAGCTGGGTTTGAGGTTGTGATGGGAGGAGAACTCTCGAGGGTTAGGCTCGCGAACAATTTTAGTGGGTCGTCCACAATGGGACTAGCGCCTCGACGCGGATGGCCCGCGAAGAAACGTGATAGTCTTGAAATATTCACTGGCAGGGAATTTAGTAAAGTATGATGATTGTTCAAAATATAGGGCTTGTTCTTGTTAGGAAAAAAAGAGGTCAATTGTTAAAGCATGCTGCATATTCACAATTATCTCGGAGAATGAGATTTCATTGAAAAACCTTACAGTATATATTCCAATACTATTTTTTCTCTAGCAATTATAGCACAATCGTACCTAAATTCAATTGAACACCCATTTGATTGGCTTCAGTAATCCCCCTATAATTGAACAATGGTAAAAAAGATAGCTTGACTTCATAAAAGAGAGCATTTCTGGTAGAAGCGAACTCTTGAAATTATTGAAAAGTATGCTATTGACTACTTGCTAACGAAGAACTCCAATATGAATGCCAAATCCAGAATCTGTTTTGAGGCCTTCTATCAGTTTCTCATCCGGCATCCGCCAGACTCTAAACGCTTGCATAAATTCCCTCAACCATGATTCAAAAACCTCGTCCGAACGAAGTTGTTGAGCTACAACAACGACCGTTAGGTTTGTTCCAACTTTGGAAGTATCCAGATCTCTGAGTTTGCAAGCATCAATACACGTCTGAACCAATGGCTTGATGAGAGCATCGTTATAGATGCAGTCACAAGCCAGTATAACTTCAAAACTGCGCTGATGTTCGGATCCAGTTAACGAAGCTGTGACCTCGTCGGTCTCCCAATCTAGAGGGCGAAATACGACATTGCTGGTCTGGGCTGTTTTCTTCGCTGAGCTAGATGCTTTCTTATTCTTGGTGTGGTTGTTGCCACTTTTGTCTGAAGATGTTGTAGATAAGCGGTTTGCTTCAAGATTCTGGGAAATCAGCTTTGCAACGTATTGCTGGTCTGTCAAGACGTAAGATGCAACCCTTGGGCCAAGTGCAAGACCGATAATTGCGGACATACCGCAGCCTAGTTCTAGAATTGCCGATTCCTTGTTCAAGATTTGTTGCTGGAAGAGAATGTTTGCTGGCGAGGAGATCCAAGAAGCGAGCAGAGGAGTAATTTTCCAAACGACTGTCGAGTATCAGCAAGAGATTTCAAAGCAAGAATGAGCAGGAATCGGTACCTGCACCGGTAGTTCCCCCACCTCGGTTTGAGGAAAGAATAGTTGGCGACTGCTGAATCACCAGATCTCGATCACCAATCGTCAACTCTAACGATGTGGCTTTCGAATTCACAAAGCCCAGGTCTTGGGATGGAATAGATTGGGAAAAGAGTAGAAATGACTCTAGAAGAATACTTAGCTAAAGCTGATCTTCCCCTCTGATGAGCAACCTACCTTCTTCCGCATCTTCAATTTCAGCTCCAAGTATGCTCAGAAAGGTGTCAAGAGGCATGTTGGAGAGCCTGATGTTTTGTTGACCTCGGCTGAAGGCGGTTTACAGTACTGCAAGTACGCCGCTGTACTGCATCGATCCCTATCAGCATATTTCTGCCCTTCTTTTCCACCTGAACCTACCTATTCTATCTTCTATCAGAGTTCCGAGCTCTTTACAATACAGTTAGTATCATTGACGCTGTCTCTTTTCTTTCCGGCAGAGACTGTGGGCAATTTGCAGATACGGGTCCGATGGTTGGGGCACGTGCGAGCAGAAAACCACGACCGTGTAGGACGTGCAAGTAAGGACTATGACCTCTGATGAACCAAACCTATAATCTGATAATAACATACGGCCAGAATACGCAAGGTCAAATGCGATGAAAAATTTCCAATCTGTCGCCGTTGCGAGTCCACAGGCCGCAATTGTGACGGCTACGGGATTTGGGGCGGTGGTGGGCGTACTCGTTCTACTCCCACCAACAATATGGAGACAAGCAGTCCTCCAAGTGCGATGCCAAAACTCTCAGTGCCAAGGTCATTGACCACCTCATCACGTATCACTCCTGAAGAACAGTTCTACTTCGAGTGGTTCTATGGGAAAAGCGTTCCGAAGCTGCCGGGTGTGTTCGGCTCCCGTTTTTGGGATACGCTTGCTTTCCAGGCTAGTGTTGTTGGCCCGGCGGTCTTGCATTCTATTGTAGCTCTTGGTGCTGTTCATAAGCGAGAGGTTCTGAAGGACCTCGAAGCTGATAGGCCGAGCGCCATTCCTATTCATGTGTGTGATGAACAGGAAGAGTTCATCCAGGGACAGTTCAGCAAGGTTGTTCATTGTCTACAGCCTACTGCATCTAATAATAACACGGAATCAGTGCGAATAGCATTGATTTCTTGTTTAGTACTGGTGTCTCTGGAAATCCTCCGTGGTCGTTATCAGACAGGTAGAATTCAGTACGCGAAATTTTCATTATAATCCTTTAATCATCAATGGCGAGTTCTTGGTAGCAAAATGAGGCTACTTTGAAGGCCGAGGCATGTTTTCTTTTTTTCAAAGATTATAGTATAATACAGTACTAACAGACCAGCAAGCCTTCAAAATGGACTAAAGCTTGTACGTAGTACGTTCACGTCCGTTTCATGGCTGGAATACGATACCGTCGATCAAGTTAGTAAATTCTTGGAAATGTTTATCGTAACTCGCTCTGCTACATCCAGCGTTTTTCAAGCGAGATCACACACTAATTCTCTGGAACAGTGTATAATGGAGGCTTTTCACCGACTCCAGCTCCAGCTCCAGATCTTCGATCAACATGTTTCCTTAAAATACACCATGAAGCAGTATCCCATCTACGAAATTCCTGTAGCCAATTTCCGTGACCTGGGAGAAGCAAGGCGACATCTGGATTATTTTTTGAAAGAAGTAATTCAACTAAGCCATTATGCGGCCACTGTCGATAAGGGCTCTCACTCGTACGAGCTACTCAACGCCCAGTCACGTATCCAAGCTGAGCTTGAAATGTGGTTTGGAGTACTTTCTGCCTCCATTGATGGCTTTCAAGTCAATACCAGCATAACGGCTGGTTTCTCCTACAAATTCCTAATTTTGTATTATACGATGTCTAGAATCATGATCCAGACCTGTCTCGACACAGAAAACGAATCCGTCTACCAAAACTTTACTAGCGATTTTATCTTTCTGCTCTCCCAGGCTGTGGACATCAAACTCCTAGCTTCTACTTGGCATAGGGAAGGCGTCTGGAACTCGAAGCTAGCGGCATTCATCGCTCACAAAGTTGTGGATATCGAAGAGAGAGACTTTCACAACGGTATTTCTGTTAACAATGACTTTCCGACGGCTGAATTGCCAGGCGTCGAAGAGCGCACGTTTCTCCTTAGCCGAGGTATATCCCCACGTATCTCGCTAACTTTGTTCAAGTATCTTTACCAACGCCTCCGGAGCTGTACTTGTAAGTTCACAAAGATCCCGGTTCCGTCCTTTATTTTGTCTAAAGATCGAAAGATGCTTCATCGCGTGGTTGGTCCTAGGACAAGATGCTGATTTCCCAATTACCCAGAATCAAAGGAGTGGAGGTGGTATTGTCCGACGATAATACAGGGAAGGTCAAATTGATGTACAAACAACGAGATAAATCAGGAAATTGGCAGGTCCTCTCCGCGGAATTTGATGCGCCAAACGCAAATTGATCATCTAATCTACTGCCTATAATCGAATGGCCAGCAACCCTATCTTCTCATATCATCAATCCGACCAGGATACATAGCTGACTCTCCAACTTATTACCACTCTATGATGAAGTCTACTACAATACATCTCATCCTTCGAATATCCCTAGAGCGCGTGGCCTTCCAGTTCCTTCTCGGTCCATTCATATAGCTTCTCTGCCAAATCATCGCTCTGAGCCTGTGGGCTAGCCTTTCCAGCAACCCCGATCGGCTCGTAGTACAGTCCATCCTCCACGCCCTTTGCAGTGCCAGCCCAGAGTTGGTTCTTCACCCCTTCCTCCACGGAAACCGATGTCAACGGCACCACAATATTTCGCAAGAAGGAGATCATCCAGCTCCCTCCATTGGAACTGAAGAGTCCTGTCTGGAGACAGCGAATTAGCATATGGTCCTGGTTTCTTCGATGGAGTCTGAAGAGTTGTCTGGAAGTAGCTTACCTGGATGTCTCCCGGATAGACCGAGACGGAGGTAATCTGCGGCACATACTTCGCCAGAGCATGAGCGTAGATGGCATTGACCAACTTGCTATGACAGTACTTGTCCACTGGCGAAAGATTCTCAGCTGAGCTCTTCATGCTTTCCAGCAAGAGCTCTTCCTTCCCAAACCTATGTCCAGCCGAGCTAACTGTTATCGTGCGGACGCCTGCGCCTGGGACCGATGCCGTCTTGAGCAAGAGAGGTTTCAAGAGCTTAAAGAGAAGAGCATGACCCATATGGTTCGTGCCGAACTGTCGCTCATAACATGCGTGCCGCCCATGATACCAGCGTTCAAGTAGAGGAGATCAAGCCGCGAGACTGAATCCAGGAACGTCCGCATGGCTTCCTTGATAGACTTGAAGGAGGACAAGTCGAGATGGAGAAAATTTACTAGGACGTCTGGTGACGCTTTCTTGATCTCTGCGACTGTTGCATGACCTGAGTCGGCGCTTCGTGCTGCGATCCATAACTCGGAGGGGCTGTGCTTAGCGAGGTCTATGGCGGTTTGTTTTCCAAGTCCGAGGTTCCCGCCTGTGATGAGGATTACTTTGCCAGCTAGGGATGGGATGTCCTTGGATGGGTTGAAGGATATGCCTTTGGCCATTTTGTAGATTTGAGGGAAGTCGAGGGGTGGATGTAGTGTTTCTGGAAAGAGTAAGATATTTGGAAAATGCTGAGTGTTATTTCGAAGAGAGCAGGTCAATATATACAGATCCATAGTTCTTTTGTTGGTAGCATCGCATCCCATCGAGACAACCAGTCTCCACCCACAAGCGGAGCGAATCAGTATGCTAGAAAACCGAGTGGATTTTCCACTGTTTCTGATGCCAAGATACGTTCTTCCAACTGGCCAATCATAGAGAGAATTCTGCGAGCAGGCCAATAGGGGTGTTTAGCGACTTCTTGCAGGGCTTTCAAGAACCTTGTCTCTTGCTGTGAGATTGCGGGCTCTACATAGAAAAACTTCGTGCCGTTCGGTACGCAGATTTTATGATGACCATCTAGAAAAGACCTGGAATTACTTCTCACGTCCTAGATATCAAGAGACCTTACATTACTAATTACACACTGTGAAGAGTTGTTATACTCAGGGTCTGATCTATGCACTTAATTGTCTGAGTATACCTTTCTAGGTTGATAAAACGTAAAGCGTGTAATCATTCTAGGACATCCGCCCAATTGGTGAGAATATTGATATCTTGACTTGTAGGGTAAATCGTGACACCGCGAATCATGGTGCTCGTTCTGCGAGCGTGCCAATGGTATAGGACTTGCTACAATAGTGGAATGAATATGGAGGGGGTCACTCAGCCAATAAAATCAGGAAGACTGCGAGCAAGGGGTCTGGCTACCAACAGCATCGCATACTAATCAGTGAAAAGAGGAGGACCAATAACGGGAACCTAACAGCATTGCATATGTCTATCATGGCATTTGGCTGAAGGCTCCAGGTAGATAGAAGAGCTTAGACAGGACAGTCCAAGATATGGGATCAAGACGCAAATGGTTATGCGCATGGTGATGGTGTGGCAACGTGCATTCTGAAAACATTGAGTGCAGCCATTGAAGATGGAGATGATATGAGTGTAGTATTCGAGAAACTGGCATCAACCAAGACGGTTCAACAACCAGTATCACGATGCCCAGTGCTACCTCCCAGCAAGCATTGATTCACAGTTCCTACGCAAAAGCAGGCTGCCATATCTCGAAGCCTATGGATGGCCTGTAACTCTTCGAGGCTCATGGTACAGGAGCGCCAGCTGAAGACCCAATCGAGGCTGAGGAAATCTCGAACGGCAATATGGCATGGTATATACCCAAAAAGTTGCACCCACGATGTCATCTCTGTATGTAATCAGTCTAGCCCCTATTTCCGTTCCTGCGTTAGGACCAACAGCTTTGCCGCACTAGATGATACTATAAGCTCCAGCTCCAGCTCCCCGCGTTCGCATTAAAATGTTGGGGATTGGAATGCGAATGCCCTCACGAGTCAATGACACCAAAAAGCCATGGGTGGACTAAAGGCAAATAATTGCTGCACAAGTACATGTATGGACGCAGTCAGGTTGGTGTGGATGCTGTCATGCAGTAATCTGTACCAAGTACTCGTCGTACCTTGATGCTCGGCGTCGGCGACCTTGCGATCGTCATTGCCGCTTCCCTGTCCTGAAATTGAGCCACCACCACCCGCAGCTCCAGCTGCAGCTACCTCTTCATTACCACCCGCAAGACAGTTGTTACAAAGTTATTGCAACCTTCAAAAGCTGCTATTTTGACAGCTGCAGCTTCGCCGCCTCATCATCGTCATCGTATTCCCCTCTTGCGCCACCAAATTGCTTTCGGGCATTTCACGCGGTATCGCTATCGTGCCACCTTGAAGCGCAAGATCATCCTCAACCCACGCGACCCGAGCTTCCCCATCACCACCACAACCACCCAACATGTCTCTCAAGAACATCACAGTCCAGCCACGAATTGTCAAGAAACCGCCCTTCAGTGTTGATGCCCCGGGCTACGAAAAGATTGATGGCGAAACCATCCCTCGTCGTCATCCCAAGGCAGTCAATGGCCTGATAGAACGCCCGGCAGAAGACATTAAAACCGTCTTTGACGTCGTTAAACACGCTTCCAAGTACTATGGTAATGCGAAGGCCATCGGTTCCCGAAAACTCATCAAAACCCACCAAGAGGTCAAGAAGGTCAAGAAAGTGGTGGATGGCGAGGAACGCGAAGTGGACAAGAAATGGACATACTTCGAGCTCAGCGGATATGAATACATGACGTTCACCGAGTATGAAAAGTTGACACTAGAACTTGGTGCTGGATATCGTAAATTGGGTCTGCAAAAGGAAGATCGCATACATATCTATGCCGCTACCAGCGCTCACTGGTTGGCTACGTCGCACGCTGCAGCTTCCCAATCGATGCCCATCGTTACGGCTTATGATACGCTTGGAGAGGAGGGATTGAAGCACTCGCTCGTGGCAACCAAGGCCAAGGCCATCTTTCTCGATCCCCATTTGCTTACGACTCTTATCAACCCTCTAAAGGAAGCCAAGGATATCCAATTCGTCATCTGGAACAGCCAGAACGAGGTCAACCAGGATAACATTGACAAACTCAAGAAGGCACACGAGCATCTGATAATTATGAGTTTTGAGGAGCTCAGAAAGCTGGGTGAAAATAACCCAGTCGATCCAGTTCCTCCTGCTCCAGAAGATCTATGTTGTATCATGTATACATCTGGTTCCACTGGTCCTCCAAAAGGTGTGCCAATCAAGCACAAGGCTGTGATTGCTTCTCGTAAGTCTACCAAACAATCAATAGGTACAATGCTAATTTTCATAGTTGCTGGTGTTAGTGTAATCGTAGAGCCATATCTGGGTCCTGGTGATAGTCTGTTAACCTACCTCCCTCTCGCGCATATCTTCGAATATGTCTTCGAAAATGCAGTATTGTTCTGGGGTGGTACTATGGGATATGGAAACCCAAAGACTTTGTCTGATGGCTCGGTTAGAAATTGCAAGGGTGATATCAGAGAGTTTAAGCCTACGGTTCTCATCGGAGTTCCTGCTGTGTGGGAATCGATTAAGAAGGGAATTGTCGCCAAGGTGAATGGTGGCAGCCCTGTAGTCCGCAAGCTTTTCTGGGCTGCATTGTGGGCAAAATCAAACATGATGCATTACGGTCTTCCAGGAGCCGAAATCTTGGACGCTGTGGTTTTCAAGAAGATCAAGGAGGCTACCGGGGGTCGCTTGCGAATTTGCTTGAACGGGGGTGGACCTGTTTCGAAGGACACTCAACGGTTCATTTCAATGGCCATCACTCCAATGATTAATGGCTACGGTTTGACAGAAACTACTGCCATGGGCGCAGTGATGGATCCATTGGCTTGGACCGATAGTGCATTGGGGGATATTCCAGCTTCCATTGAAATGAAACTGGTTGATTTCCCCGATGCAGGTTACTTCTCAACAAACAAACCCCAACCACAAGGTGAAATTTGGATTCGAGGTGCTCCAGTTCTTGAGAGTTATTACCAGAATGAGGAAGAGACCAAAGCTGCCATCACCCCAGATGGATGGTTCATGACTGGTGATATTGGAGAGTTCGACAAAAATGGACACATTCTTATCATTGACCGAAAGAAGAACCTGGTCAAGACTCTCAACGGTGAGTACATTGCTATCGAAAAGCTGGAGTCCATCTACCGGTCCGCTACCGTCGTTGCAAACATCTGTGTATATGCAGATGCTCAAAAGACGAAGCCAGTTGCGATCATCGTTCCAGCGGAACCTGCATTGAAGAAACTTGCAGAGAGCATTGGTGTCAACGGCGATGGAATCGGAGACTTAGTACATAACCAGAAGGTTCAAGACGCAGTATTGAAAGAGCTGCAGCAGGTCGGAAAGCAAGGTGGATTATCTGGCATTGAGATCATCGAAGGTGTTATCTTGGCTGATGATGAGTGGACCCCCCAAAATGTAAGTGGCGTATATATATCTATGCACTCATCCGTTGCTCTACGAGCGAGGCTAAATTTAATCTTAGAACATGGTGACTTCTGCTCAGAAATTGAACCGAAAACTCATCCTAAGCACGTACAAGAAACAAGTCGACGCTGCATATGCGAGAAATAGCTAGATTGTACGTGGTATAGGATTCAAAAACTAGGCATAGGCATGCATTGTAAGTGGACAGGAAAGAGTGTGGTCGGCCTGCTGCCAGGAAATTGTATGATATTCACTTGACACATTGAATTTACGCATAGCATTATTTTGACCCCGTTTACAAAATCATCTGTTGCTTTGCTTTCAGGTTAACATAGCGTGTTCAGTAAATGTATTCTCCTGGCCACAACATCTTAAGAGAAACCGTAGGGATTCGATGACGTATGAATACTTATATCTGCTGGTATTTCCCCTTGCGATTACGGCATCGTTATAGTAATTAAGTAGGGGGGAGGATGGGGGTACTATAAAGAAAAGTCTTACTTGGGAAGGTACCTAGGTTTTAGGAAAAGCTGGTAGATATATTTCCTCGCTAAGATATCCTACGTATCTCTTTGAATAGTAAAAAAACAAGTTGTATTCTACCTATTTAAGTATTTTCCTATACCTTATCCTATATAAATTAACCCCCCTTCTAACAAAATAACCCTAACTCTCCTCCAACTTCCAAACAACCTCCCTCTTTCCACCCACCTCACCTTCCAATCGGCAATCCAAGCCAGCTTAAATTCGCGACAATCCCCCGATTCGCGCCAAGCGTCCTGAAAGCCCTAGAGCCCCACATTCCCACACCCTACGTAACCCGAAATAGCGATTCACTTGGCAACTTGTACACCTCCGGCTCAATGGTCTAGTGGTATGATTGTTGCTTCGGGTTCACTCCCTCTTCTCCTTAGAGAAGAAACACCAAATGTGACAGGTCCCGGGTTCAAAGTAAGTTTCTTCTTAACATTGTGTTGGTTGGATGTATGACTAATGGGTTGTTGTAGTCCCGGTTGAGCCCTTCTTTATGAATTTTTTAAGGTTTGTGGGCTTTTTGGGGGAAGGAGGGGGGTTGTTTTTTTTGGAAATTGGCGGGGGGGGAATTGGGTTTACGTTTAGGTTTGGGTTTGGAGAAAGGGGAGGGGAGGGGTATATGTGGAAAGTTTGAGATATATTCGTTTGGTGGTTTGAGTTCTATCTTGGTATTTGCTCTTTTCTACTTTTCTTGTATACCGCCTCAGATTATGTCTCATAGATTCAAGTATTCGAATGCTCAAGTAACAACAAAAACTAAAACAAAAGTCCTCCCAGAAATATTACTGCTCAGAAACAAACCCCCAAATAGCATCCTCCCATCCTCTTCTCCTTTCAATCCGGACACCCATCTCCAAGTCCTTCCCAGTAGGCTTGACCATCCCCTCCGCAACACCACTCCTTCCCATCTTAGGAACCTCCACCAACCCACCATCCAAAGCACGAATATCAAACCCAAGGACCAAAACAGAAAGCAGGCCCAAGATCTCTGCAAATGCAAAGTTTCGTCCGGGGCAGAGGTGTTTCCCACCGCCGAATGGGAAGTAGGCTTTTTTCCGTTGGCGGTCTTCTTCTCGCTCTTTTGCGGTCATGTTTCCTTTGAGGTTTGGATCTAGGAATCTTCGTGCGTCGAAGGTGGATGCGTTGGGTCCCCAGGTTTCTTCGGACATGTGAATGACTCCTGATGGTATCTGGACGTTGCAGCCTGCTTTGAGAAGATAGGTTGATGTGCCGTCGGTTATGGTGGTATCGGTCATCACTCGACGGGCGCCGATATTTGAATTTCCCAATCGAATTACTTCTCGGTAGCAAGATACGAGAAGAGGACAGTGTGATGAAAACTTGGCTATGTTAATATCAATTTCGCGCTCGGGATCCCCAGAACTGGGTTTGGTTATGGTGAGTAGCTCGTGTCTGATAAGCGAGGTAAGAGTGGGGCTTGATGCGATGAAGAGTAAAGTCCAGAACGTTGTAGGTATTGCGTTGGCGGTGGCAACGTGGACTATAGCCAGCTCTAATTGTCCCAAATCCGAGAGAGAAATCCCATATTTTGCGTAACATGCGGCTCGGGAATGTACCAGAGGTGATACATCTGGCTGAAGGTCATAACCGTTCTTGAAGTACTCTGTGAAAGCTGCTTGTACTGCTGCCCTCCCACGATGAGCTTTTGGAACGAAGAAGGATGGGAATATGCCCATGATGAAAGAGATGACGTGTGCATCGAAATCCCTGAGTTCGAGGTGAGTACAGCAGACTGATCCTGCGAGAGTACTTACCAAAGAGATTCGATAAGGCTTTTGTTAATTCTGAATGGGTTTTGTGATCCATACAAAGCGTCGCTTGTAGCTAATGTCAGGGTGAGTCTCAGCCACCGAAACAAGCTATCCGAAGTAAAGCACCCGTCAATACCATTGATTATTAAAGAAATGGATTCCAAAGCTTTCAGATTGGTTCTGTGCAGGTTTTCGCCGGTGAGAGACTCGTGGATTGCTTTGCTGGATTCACGTAGCATGCTAGCCTCCTTCTCGCCTGCCGGAATTTTCAACAGAGATATTGTCGCGTCTGATACATTCAGCATGCGCTGGAAGAATTCCACCATGTGTGGTTCGAATGACAAGTCCTTGGACCGGAAGGCATATTGGCACATTACGGGTGATGTAATGACATAGGATTTTGCGTCGAGCAATGGCATGGTGTATATCGGTAGTTTGTATTTGGCACTGCCGGCGAGGGCATGATGAGAGAGTGCGTGGATATCTTACAGAGGAAAGAAGGTACCTCAATATGTCAAAGTAAGATGTGGAATGCTTCACAAGCCCCAGAAGGTGACCAATATATGGTATTCTCGGCCTGAGGAGAGGTGGTTCTTGAGGATCTAGCTGCACTGATAGCATCCGCCAGCAAATCAAACCAATGACAAAAATTAAAAGGAGAAAGGAGGGCAGGTATCCATAGCTGGGGATACCAAGAATATCGCTCGTAGCCATAAGGGGCGAGCTTGAAGCCTTCTCCAAAGCATTGATTGTGTACAAAGAGAGGAGGTCAAGGCAAAGAAATAAAAGAAGGGGAAAAGAATTCTCTGGAAGTACACTTGCAGATTTCACTTGTTGGTGGCTGCAGATGCACACATGTATGCTACGTACAGGCCAATCCTGAACATCGGTCTGGGAAAGCCCGAACAAACCATAGAGAGATCGTGAAGCTATTGGGAGGCACACTTTTTTTTCGGAGATCTTCACGCTTTAAGAAGAATCCAACATTGCAACCCAGCAGCTGACACTCCCACCGCCCGTGGGGGGTGTTCTCCAGCTGGCTTGCCAGCCGCTGGAGCCGACGGCAAAAAAGGTGTGATGTGGTTCGATGTGAAGCAAACTATATCGGTCTTGCGCGAACATGTTTATAATTTGCTAATAAGAAGTATGCGTTGGGAAAACGCAAGAACCCGGAAGCGAAGCGATCTCTCTGTAGTGAATGTTGTTGATATCGGTTGGTGGGAAAGGGGGAGTCTTTTGTTCCAGTTTAATGGTACCGAGTTGGGACGCCCGTCGGTGTTAATATCGTTAATATCGGAGTTAAGTCTGTGGAAGGTCGCGCAGTGCAGTGGCAGCGCGTCAACCCAAGTTGAGCTTGGACAGCTTCAACGAAAGACACTCGAGCAATTGCATTTTCCTCAACATCTGGCTTGTCAGTCTTTCATGAAACCTTCCTTGTGCTGCTTCTCCGTGCATCGCCGTTAATATGGCATCCTCCAATTCTTTGTCGACACGAAAGCGTTCTCGAATTCAGGAGGAGGAGGAGGACCTGGATGAACTGACTCCTCGGAAACTCAGTACCACGACGCCTGTATCTACGACGTCGAAGAAGAGAAAGATAACAACTTACGAATCTGCGAACGGAAATAGCTTGTTCTCGAGTCCCAAGAATATGATCAAGAAATTCCTTGGTTTTGGTGGAGGCACAAACGATGCAGACGAATTATCCGGCGAGAAGGATACATCCGACCCTGAATTGAGCGAACCTGATGAACCTATAGAAGAGAAGAAGCTAGTCCCCAAAGAAAAGGTATCTGCAAAGAAACAAAGGGCAGCGAAGGTGCCCAATGCGAAACACCAAGTCAAGAAGGCTACTAAAGATATATTTGATCTTTCAAGTTCCGAGGTTGAGAAGGAGGCAGAGAAGGCTAAACCGGTTCCTCGGAAGAAACAAAGCTTAGGAGATGCTGCGGATCATACAAGCACGAAAACCACAGATGTTGCGCCAGTAATAAAGAGACCTCGTGGGCGACCTCGAAAATCAGACGTCTTGAAGAGAGAGAAGATTGCCTCAAAACAAGCAGTACGGGAGAAATTAAGCAGCAAGACCACAGAGCAAGACACAAATAGAAGAAGAAGCTCCCGCAGGAATGAGGAGAGTCCGGGGCCCTCGAATTCGGACCACGAGGAACAGAAAAGCAGTAATCGATCGAAAAAGCAAGCCAAAACCCATCTCGAAGTGCCGGATCGGGTACGAAATGTTATTCTATCACCAAGCAGAGGTAGACCTGGGTTGGCGTCGCGGAAGAGCGTAACCTTTGAGCACAATGAAAATGATTTAGACCTGGGGTTTAAGGACCTTCCAAGAACTACAAGCGCCCAGAAATCAAGAGAAGGTTCCAAGTCGAAGTCGGAGAGAGATACGTCAAACATCGAAGACCTTGAGGTAGTGGTGGATGGTGAAGGGGTTGCTATTGATGATGAGGGGGAGGCAGACGATGCAGCTTGTAGCATATGTCTAAAATTGCATACCCGGAAAGGAAACCAGATTCTTTTCTGTGATGGCTGTGATAAAGCCGTGCACCAAAAATGCTATGGGGTAAAAGATATTCCTGAAGGAAATTGGTTCTGCAAAGACTGTATACCGAACCATCCACAAATTGATTTGATTGATCAATCACTTATTCCCGAATCTGCTCTCCAAGGCCCATGGGTAGAAATAGTTGGGTTTGAAGATCAGCTGAAACGCCTGCAGCGAGCTTTGTTAGACAAGATGACGGGGCAAACACGAATCAAGCTACGGGGACATGATGAGCAGATGCAAAAGGTATATCAAGTAGTGGAGCAAACTGTTCTCGCTGGAGAGGGTAACTCGATGTTGGTAATAGGAGGGAGAGGTTGTGGGAAAACAACTGTAAGCACAGCTTCATTTCTATTTGCGCATTTCTAACATTAGACAAGCTTGTGGAGTCTGTGATATCTGAGATATCTTTTGAGCACAGAGAGCACTTCCATGTTGTGCGACTGAATGGTTTTATTCATACAGATGACAAATTAGCCCTGAAGGAGATATGGCGACAGCTTGGTCGAGAGATGGAAGTAGAAGATGATATGGCAAAGGTATATCCCATCTGTTATGTTTTCATCGCGCATTATTGACAGAAAATTAGACAAGCAACCATGCGGATACCTTAGCATCTTTACTGGCATTGTTGTCTCACCCTTCGGAGCTATCTGAATCTTCCGCTGAACAAACGGCAAAATCTGTAATTTTTGTCTTGGACGAGTTTGATCTCTTCACCACTCATGCCCGTCAGACCCTGTTGTACAATCTATTTGATATAGCCCAGGCAAGAAAGGCTCCAATTGCTGTACTAGGCTTGACTACGCGAATTGATGTAGTAGAAAGCCTGGAGAAGAGAGTAAAGAGTCGTTTCAGCCACCGCTATGTATACCTGTCACTGCCTCGAAGTCCTCCGGTATTTTGGGATATTTGTAAAGAAGGATTGACTCTTGATGAGGCTGAAGCTGCAGATATGGGCTTTGATTCATCAACCACTGGAAGCGACGAGTTTCTATCATTCTGGAATGCAGCTATAGAGGTGAGTTATTGACAATGGTTGACTCATTTATGACTGGCTAACAGTTGCAGGAACTCTACGAGAGAGACGAGTCTTTCAAGGAATATGTCCAATCACACTACTTCCGAACCAAATCTGTTTCGGCGTTTCTGACGTCCTGCATTCTACCGGTTGCAACTCTCACACCGAAAAGCTTTCCTCTGACCGGCAAATTCTTTGCGTCTACCACACTGTCACTGTCCCCACCTGACTCAAAGCTGCATATATTGCAGGGCCTCTCGGAACTAGAACTTGCTTTGTTAATTGCTGCCGCAAGGCTGGACATCATTCTTGATACTGATACTTGTAATTTCGCCATGGTTTACGACGAGTATAGTTCATTGACATCTCGTCACAAAATCCAAACCTCAAGCTCGGGAGTCAATGCTCTGGGCTCGAGTGCTAAGGTTTGGGGTAGAGACGTTGCTTTGGGTGCATGGGAACGACTTGCCGAGTATGAGGTTTTGATCCCAGCAGCGATTGGTGGAAGTGGAGGAAAGGATATCGGTATGGGGGGTCGCATGTGGAAAGTTGATGTAGGACTGGAAGAAATACCAGGGAGTGTCGACGGACTTAGTAGTGTCATGACAAAATGGTGCCGGGAGATTTAAATTGCTCGACACAATGATCGATAATGTAGTGTATGCATCCCGGACTTCTATGCCTCAATTGTTACAACGCGCATAAATACGGGTCATCATCATACGATAGCTTCATGTTTCCGCCCAGCTTGTATGATTATTCATGTGGGGGCCAGAATTCGCCCGACGGTGCTTGGTCCTAAGAAGCCTTCGAGTCATCGACTGTTGTACTTGAACAGTGGTATCTACTCAGGGCAAGTACTTTCTTTTTTTCTCTAGTCATTTTATGGTAATACATCCATCAAGCTGAAACAACAGTCCTATCATCCAACTCTCTGCAAAGCTGCGGGCGCATTTTCTGAACCGGCATGTGCGAAGGACCTTTCTCTCAGCCAGTGTATTGACAAAGGTTCGCGATCTTGTCTACCGTATTGCTGGGAGACTTGCGCTGACTGCAGGCTCCCCACCAATTGGAAAGCGAGGCATCTGCACCATCGAGCCTCACCGAATGACGAATGTGTATCTGGGAGCACAAGCGAGCAAAACCTCTCACATCTTCTGATGGGGCGTGTTGCACCAATACGATAATTGGGTCTAATACATGCAGCTCGCCTCACTCTGGCCGGGCAACATCCTAATCTATTCTGCGGGGAAGGAGGCAGATACCCCGATCTTACAAGCATGCCTAATGGCTGCCTTGTGAATATGTTTCCTATCCCCCATTTTCGGTCAACTGTTTAATAAGTAGCAGGTGCGACATATCCTGCCAGTGGTCGAGCCTATATATACAGCAATTGAAGTTTTGCTAATATCTTTCCTGCAAGCAAAGAAACATGGACGAAATCACCGCTCAGAGTGTGAATGATGAGCTTCAATATGTGATTTCGTTTGGAGGGCATATTTCAACGGCATTTCACCAATATGCCTTGAATCGAGCCGCTAATGGATGTTTTGAAAGTTCTCGGACAATGACCGATGCAGCCTTATCTTCGCTGAAACAGATCTCACATTTGTTGCAAGATGAAGCTCAATATCAGAAAGAAGGGACCGGAAAAGCGCTATTCAGCTACGAGGGACTATCTTATACGCGCGGTGTTGTCAAGGAATGTGCCAAATCGCTTGTCAAAACCGAGCAAACAGTGAGAGATGGATGTCTTCCTCGCAAAGAACTGAACGCCAAAAGACGCAAGGCTAAGAAGTCCGCCCCGGTAGAAGTAGAGATTGTGTGTTCGGACTTGGAGATCGATGAAAAGGCTTTTTTGAATCAGCTCGAAAAAACGAGGTGGCCTCGCATTGATAGTGACATCAGGGACATTATGGATAGAGTTGATGATCTACAGCTACGTCTTGTCTTGGTTCATCAAGTGGTCACAGTTGGTCTGATCTCCTCGGATCTGTAGGTTTATATTACGATTTAATTGACTTTAGCTAACTTGGGTGTAGCTCATCTGGAAGGGTGGACGTACAAGAAATTGTCAGTTTCCATGATCGAATTCACCGCACGGCAGAACTTGCGGGCATTAAGCTTCCAAAAAAGCGTGTTTCGAGAAGGGCTTCTTTCAGTGATAGTTATGACAGTGGCAGTGATTCAGGCGTATCACCAAGGAAGTCACCGGTTCGAGAGCGTGTGGTTATATTACCTAGCCCACCCCCAATGCCTTCCGGACTACCAAGAATCGCGCCTCCGCCGCCACCCGTGAGTGTCCTACCAAAGCCACAAATAACTGAGAATGTACGAGTTCTTTCCCCAAATATTATGAGTTCAAGCTGATAGATATAGGTCAACCCACCATCTTACACGGAGAAACCAAACTCTGCAGTTCTTTCTTCGACCAAGCAAACAGCTCTTCCAATAATGGCAATCAAATTGTCGGATGAGAAAAAAGAGCCACCTGAGAATGCTTCCGTAAAGGAGCAAAGGCAGCAGCCAGTGAAAAGTGAAGTGGTGTTAGCGAAGTATGGAGTCTCGAATTGTCTCGGCTATTTTCAAACTAACAACAACAGGCCCGCAACCCCTGAGCCTCGCCTGTTCGCAGCGAAACCTCATGGAGTCGGTTTCAAGCTCCGATCTCTCTTCAGAAGTAAAGAGTCTCTTGCTGCTGAGATACGCAAAGTTCTTTGCGATACCGATTCGCACCTCTTAGCGTTCGTAATACAGAGTTCTGGTCATAGGTTGATCCCTCATTCTGCCTTTCACTCTCTGGAATCAACCCACATGAAGACAATTCTAGCTCAACTGAACGATGATACCTGGTATACAGCATATACATCTTTGAACCAACAAGAGAATATGATGCTACGCAATATCATCTATCCTTGGGTTAACGGAAAGACTCATGAGAGGGATATTGTCGCTCTTAAGGTTGTGCAAGAACAAGCTAAACCTAATGCGTGGCTGGCTCTTTTGAGAGAGTTTCGACCAAAGAATGAGCGTTATCATGGTCCCCCACAAGCTCCTCTACCAGGTCGTGTTCTCCTTGCTATTGTGAGGGAGCAACTCGTCAACGGAAAGCCTCTTCTACCAGCTAGCAGTGTCGATAGCCGGATGGGACCAGTTCTACAACCTCCAGGACCCCCAAGACCCCCAGTAACGACAGAAGCAAGTCGAAGGCTACCTCACCCACCACAGTTTCTCAGACCACCACCTCCGCCATCCTTCAGTAATCCTCCAAGTGGATCTAACAGGGTCTACGATATTACCAATTACAACAGAGGTCCACCGTCTCCAACGGTATGCGGTCCACCACCTCCGTCATCTGTGCCCCCTCCACCAGGTGCTAGACTGGTCGTGGCCAAATCCATTCGTATCTCTGACATGAATGTTTTTACTGATCGCGACGCTGCCATCGCTCTCACAAGTTACAATGAGTACACTATGCGTACATGCGAGCCAGCTCAGCCATCCGAGCGACGCTCATGGCTACGCGTTTCCAACACCCTTGAGTCTTCCGACAAAGACCAAGTCCAAGATCGCGTCGACCACTTTCTCGCCGCGGGAAAGAGTGTCATAGAAGTCAAAATGCGACTTACTGAAGACCAAGCAGCCCAAGTTACTCGCTTAATGGATGAATTGATTGCTCAAGAGCGCGACACCCGATTTGAATGGTCCTGGGTTGAACTCAGCGTCTACGATAACTACGGGGAATTGCCTCTTTTCGCCAATGGCCCTGGGACCATTTCTAGTCGTGCAACGCAAATACATCTTATTGCAAAGCGCAGCTTGAAGCAATACATCAAGGCTATGGATGTACACAATTCTTTGATGACCCGTGGACCTGGTCCATATCCCCCAAGCTATCCCTATCCTCCTGGTCCTGGTCCTCGTCCAATCACTCTGGGGCCACCTTCCCCTCCTCCATTTCGCCAGATCTCACCAGTCATAGTCAAGGCGCCTCGTTCCCGGAGAAGATATGTGTCAAGTGATAGCGACAGTAGCTCGTCCGACAGTGGCAGCAGTGACAGCAGTGTTCCTCGACGTATGAGACGCAGGCGTGTGAGACGTCAGAACCGGAGATCTGGTCGTAAAATTACATATGATTCTGATGACTCCGATGACGAAGATGCGGAGGTTGATGTTATGGAGATTGATTTGATGTTGAAACGAGGTGACGATCTTGTGCAGAAGCTTTTGAAGAAGTGGACACCGCAGAATGTTGGGGGGAAGAAAAATGCTGCTTGAGATATTACGTTGCAATTGATCTTCTAGGTTCCCTTATAATTTTAGCTCAGTGCCTTGGATTCGGGTTTTTTTTACATGGTTTCTTATTCAAATAGCTATATATAAGTAACGATATCACGAATCTATCTACGTTTCTTTGGTATACTGCCAAACGGTTGAGTTCTACTGCCACCTCTACGATTCAACTAAACCCGTCCGATAACTGCATTTGAGTTGCCTTAAAAGTTTTCTTGCTCAATTGTGACTTTGTATTCTCTGGAAGGATTCTAATGCTAAAAACTGGAAGTTCAGATAAATATCACTGTTTAGGATTTAGTACTTGTAGAGTCATAATGAAAGTTACTCGAGTAGTATTAAAATCGATTCTTGGTGGATAAAATATACCTTGACATGATTTGGGCGACATTCTGACGAGTTATCGTAAACTTTGTCTGCTTAAAGCCGAAAGCAGATGAAGGAATCTGTAGAAATGGCATCCCTAGAAGCCGAGTACAAAGGAGGCCTCATCCAAGATTTCGGAAATCATTTTTCAAATGCAAGTCCGTCTCTTATATCTTGACCTATCCGAACAAAGCTTGAGCCAGGTTCCAAAAACAGGAGGGGGTCATGAGATGGCTGTGTTTTCTCATGTATTCCACCCTGCGTCAATCTCAAAGAGGAATGTATGAGCTAGAAGAATGATTTTCATTAGTAACGATCCCCAAATCTAAAGCCTAGCCGGTATGATATGGAAGCACGATATACTGCAGATGGATTCCTTATAAGTAAATTCGATCTTCGCTTGGTTTCTTCGGCTGTAATGCCACTCTCAGATGTGCCATCATAGTTTGTGGGCATACAAGACGGTTCCTTCTTCAGCGCAAGTTCCAATTCATATTCTCGGACGATTCGGACACAATCACGATTGAGTTGCTTCATAAGTGGAATAATTTGGTACTGTCCGTATTCGTCCCTCTGTGCTGATGTGTCAACGCGTGCGATGGCGTTGCTGGTTCCCTTTGAGATCGAATTATTCAAGTGTCTGTAAAGTGGGACAAGCTGGGCTTCGCTTCTCGACAGATCATTGTCCATTTGCGTTTGAGTTGGGTCAAATTGGAGTTCACTTCTCGACATGTCTTCCCAGCACTATGCATGAGCTTCGGAGAGTCCTTGAAGAAATTTCAATCCATCACAAAGAAATTTAATCGCAAAATCCCTCTGAGCTTTGAGAGGCATTGAATCCCAAATTGATTTAGTGTTGACTGTCCCACCAATGTTGTTGTACTTGCTCTGTCTCATTCGCGGAAAGGAATCTTCCTTTACAGAACCGGGATAGTAGGAGTGATTTTGATCATAATAATCATCGATTTGATCCTTGCTTTTTGATCTCGAGGTTGTCACCAGTGATCACGAGCTTTGCATAATTTGACGGTCTCTCTTCGAGGACGTCGAACTACCGAAGAAGCTGAATTTTAGTTTCGATATCTCCTTGGGCTTAGGTTTTCCAGGTTTTCCAGGTTTTCGATATTCTTTGTCTCTACTTCTCCTTTCTAAGCACCAATCATAGACGGCTGAAGTGTCCTCCTCGGCAGCTTCACTGCCAGTATGCCTGCTTATATGTTCAGAGAGCAGCCGGCGGAGATTATCCTTCCCTCCCTCCCGATATTCCCTCCCTTTTTCTGTCTTTATGGTGACCTCTTTATATCTGACGCAGAAATGCTCGTACAAAACATTCTGGCTTATCTCGTCCCAATATTCTATCGCGTTGCGCTACAAACTCTTTTCGGAGTATTTGACAAGTTCTCCAGTCGGTTTTCGCGTCGAAATGTTATGTATTCTTGGCGCTCTCTCGTCGTTTTTCCGTCCAGAATTTTCTCTCCCCTCCAATTTTTGTATGCTCCAATGCAGGATGTCTCTCATATCTTCCTTCTCTTCTTTGAAAAGGCTTAAACATTCAGTAGAGTTTATTTCGGAGAATATGTCCTTGTACATTTTTTCCTTTTCTTCGTTGCTAAATTTCGAAACTGACTCCCGTTTGATTTTAATAAAATTGACTAAACTGTCAAGCTTTTCTGTATCCAAGACTTTTAAGGACGGATGCATAGGCAATCTATCCTTAGACATACTTGTTTTGCAAAAGTTCTTAAGTGAATGATAGGATGACTGTCTTCAAGGCAGATTAAAAAGCTGGACTCGAGGTGTAGAGGATCGATAATGTTTGCTAGAGGAATAAAAGGTGGAACTCATCGACACATTATATACTCCATCCATCACAACTATAACACTTATCGTCTTTTGACCCATCTGAGATCCCACCCTTCCCTGCGAAAGTCTTCCCTTTATCCCAACGGAGCAAAAAACGATTTAGACCCACATCCAACATTTCAGCCTTTCAAGTCCAAGTTAGGACCAATAACAGTACTGATTGCACCATCACGCCTCTGGCTGATTCACTTAACAACAACTTCAAGGAAGCACACTGCCATTACCAACAACTTGAATCTCTCTCAAGCAAATCATATTAACAAGCTTACATCACAGGCACACGTCCAAAGATTGTTTTTATCCCATCCAAAGAAATAATGAAATCACATAACATTCTCCATTCTAGGGCCATGTGACTTCTAATTTTAGCAAGGAATCAAATCACTAACCACCTCCCCGTCACAAAAGAAAGCAACTGTTCAGATCAGCAAATATATGAGCAATATCTCGGGTACCATGTCGGAGATAGCTCCTGATCACAAGCTTTCAATTTCTCTCTCCAAGCCAAGATTCAATAATACCAACCCCCTTTTTCCAGCATCTTCATTTTTATGTTAGAGAGCATAAAAGAATGCTTAATCAATTTAGATACCTATGAACACCATGTAAGATGAGAAGTCCTCTCAAGATCCAATATCTCACAACCCAGCAGAGCCGCTGAATCGGGGTCCTCGTACCCCTCTTCCGTTATCCAGGAAATCAACCAACTAGTCATCCATTCTAGCTGATAACAAAAATAATTCAAGAAATGGGCTCCAACGTTGGTATCTGACGGAGACCCATTACGCTGACTCCATGTAGTGTGGTTTCTCTTTTTGGTTCCGAGCTAACCCCCTTAATTTGAGCTTGGTAACTTGGTAATAACAGTACTCAGTATACTAAAAAAGGCAAAGGCGCGTAGAATTTGTAAAGTGGTTTTTAATTTAGAAAACTCTCAAAGAAATCCGCCTTGAGCTTTACCTATTCCAAGTAACCCACAAAGAATACAATTTTATTGGGTTGAAAGGGTATTGGGTACTGAAGGTCATGGAGAATTGATTGCATTGTAAAAGGTAGCTATCTAAGGTGTTTATATAAAGAGTGTAAGATTTAAGCAGACATGAAGCATTTAGGCAGCAGAGCTATAAGTGGATCAAATCAGGAAGTGGAGCAAAAGAGAAAGTAGACCCAGCACAACAAATTTGATTTGGTTATCTGATCTTTTCCTGCTAGAAAAATAAAGGAAAAATTGCTTATTATGCCCCTTCTGCTTATCTTCTTGGCCATCCTCGCCATTCTTGGTTGACTACTCGGAGTTCTGAAAGTCAAACAGATTTACCGGTTTAACAGGACCCATTTGTTCTAGTACGTTCGCCGGTTTCGCGAGATCCGTTTCTTCTTCGTTACCTTTCTAAACACAAACAAGATTCGGTTAGCAATGAAGCGATACAAGTTTTAATAATACTTCATTCCAAGATGAGAGTGATGCCTTATGAGGGGATAACCTGGGAGTAGAAACTGCATACCTTTTCCGTAGTCGATGTGAGCGAAGATTTGCCAGTCTCCTCGTTGGATCGAGATGCATCGGGTTCATATCCAGAAAACTTAAACCCCCTCTCAATTTCTAGGATTTCTAGAGCGGCAGTTTCATTTTTCAAGCACCATGTTGCGAGGTCTTCAAACTCGTTTTCATCTAGAACAAACTCGTCACCTGATGAATTTTCGGCTCCAAAACAATTTAGTACATGATTGTACATCCTTTTGCGGCGTTCTTCTTCTTCTTCTTTATCGTTATACAAACGATAATTGATACAAAACGCGCCGATGAATCTGACTACTTGAGGTTTGATCTTGAGTTCAAAGAATTCGGGAATATGTTCCATCTGATTGAATAACTCGGTTGTCTTAACACAGTCTCCCTCCTTGGGGACACCCATTCCCATATGAGTTTTGTAGTCTCTCTGAATTCTCTTGATTGATCCTCTCCTGTCTGCTGGCGCTGTTTGCACTCGTCATGAAGCTCAATCACCAATTCTATGAGCTCGTCGTTACTATAGTCTTGAAATCCGTCAGGAAGGGATCCGTCATGAAGAGATCCGAAGATCCTGTCGCACAAATGATTCCAATGAAGATGATGCATGCAAAAAGAAAAGGATTTCCTGTACCTTTCTATACCCATTACCAACAACAGTCTCTCTTTATACCAACCCAAGATGTTTCCCCAAGCAATTAAAATGCTGTATCCAAGAACACAAAATTCCAACTCCTTTGTAGATAGCAAACACAAAATAATGCATGTGCTGCCTGCTGGTAACCTATAGAGTTTGTTATATCTAGAAAGATCTTTCAGGGTAGTTTCCTCTACGGCAGGCTTGGATAGTTGTGCCTCAACCCACGAAAATATCACCAACACTTCCTTCAGTTAGACAAGAAGACGAACATTTCTTTTTTACAACACTCTCTGAAGTTTGAACGGCATAGAATCTCATTCCATTGGAGCTGTATGCTAGCCAATCTAGATACGCTTTTTTTGATATAGGCCAACCAACAAGTATAAACGAAGATGACAACCTAGAAGCTTCATATTTTCCCCCACGTTCTGCCTGTTTTGGACTTTCACAAATTTAACATTCATTTCATTTGTCAAATCAAAGCAATTCACAAAATAGCCAACACATCAATTGTCATTCCCTAATTAGTGGGCACAAAGACTCGTCACCGCGCCGTTAAATCCGACACCCAACTTATATATCTTAACAAAGAGCCTAAATTTCCAACACCATACACCACAGTCACTCGCTCCCAGTCAAAAAATGGAGGAATCGTAGGTATCGTATACTTGATCCAACCATCCGCACATCCCAGCAAATTGTGGGTTCTTCGGTTCCTCAAACTTTCCCATCACACCTCTTTATCTCACAAATCTCCTTCCGCTTCCCTTCTTCCATCAACCCAGCCCTGGTGAGCCCTTCCTTCCAAGGTATCCCACACAGGAGGATCTTTCTACTCCTTCCTCCCACCCATTTCAGATTAGCAAAAAAGACGGCAAAAACATACAACAGCATGTATTCGCTGGTGGTCACCCACCCAACTACTAATCTGCCGATCTGAGGCTTGTGTATGGCAGAGCGGACGGGATGCCCAATTCTCCTCAGTCTATGGTCGTATGTGACTTCTCTCGTGTTGTTGAGTAATATAATTCCGGTCTGGCGAGATCGCATGGAAAATGTAAAAAAACAATCACCAATCCACGTGATGACGCGCTGAATCTGGACGGGAGGTTTCAGAAAGCGACTGGCCGCAATACTTCCCTTGATAAATAACCACCGACTCTACGTATGTCAAACTGCGTCCTCTGCTGCTACCTATAACCCTCATGCAATCCCTCACACGCTCCTTCACACGCTACGGCCATTCCATCTACAAAACCCGCACGATTCGCACAGCTCAGCCACTCAACATGAGCACCACTTCAAAACTAGCTTCCAAGCCTGATACCCCTCCAAGCGAATCTTCTACTCCGCAGAAAAACACCCCGCTCGCACTACCCGAGGTAGCACATAATCACACGCAGCTGGATATGAGCCATGGAAGCACAACAGTCAAGTTGGATCATTTGGGGCCGATGGTGGTGGGTGCGGACGGTACACTCAGTCGCATAACAAACTGGGAAGGCATGACGGACGGAGAGAAAAAAGCTACTTTAAGGATCATTGGAAAGAGAAATCAGGAACGTCTAAAGACGCTGAGAGAAAAGGACGTTCAGGGTTGAAGGTCCGACGTTGATGCAGATCCTTGAGGTAGAAGATCAAGTAGAGTGGACGTTCAATGATACCCGGCTCTCTGGAATCTTTATTCGCGACGAGTGTTCATGGGCGCCAGAATGCAAATGACTCGAGCTTCACCCAGAAAATTCTTCCACGTATAAGAATCACCCACCGCAGTGGGAGGGAGTACCTAGGCAATTTGTCAATTCGGACTATTTGTTAAAGGATTAATACATTCAGGCTTCCTATCATGATCCGCATACTCAACATTGCAAATCGGCAAAGCCCCAGGTCGATCTCGAGGCAGGTAGAAAAGAAATAGCACATCTAGTCATTGAACCCAACATCTTCATGGTTTGAGCTTGCACCCTTCCTTTTATGGCTCGTTATTCAATTTTCGGTGGTACAAAGTTTCCGCCCACTTTCTAGAATTCCTAGTCTTACCCAGAATTCATCAATACAAAAGTATCGCGACTCAGGCTAGACCAGCACTCTATATTTCTTTGTCCCGAGCTTTCGGTGTCAATCTGATAGTTTTTGGTATTATCAAGTACGAATACGAAGTACTATTCGTCAGGAAGACATGAGGGAAGTTGCAAGTCATGGTTGTTTCCAGGACACTCAAACGTGGTTGATATCCCATAGTAATGGAAAACCCCCGCCATGTACGAGGCATCAGACGACATTCGTCAGGTTTGGGGAACTAAATCTACTCCGCGCTTCAAGCGACAAACGATACGCAACCCACGCCTCGTAACCTCGATCTATTATTCTTCCGAGATACGGCGAATTGTGCCCACTTTCGTCGAGATTCTCAAGGTTGCTGGTTTGAATACGAGCTAGTCACGACTCAACCACGCCCAAGCGGAGTTACAAAAGATAGCAATCCACATTAGTTTCCCTAGGGAAGTTGACAAAATCGCAATCCAGGTGTATGGACTATCAAAATGAACAGCACTAAATCCAATTCGGTAGAGCTCTATTGAAGCCCCACGGGATATTTGTCAACCAAGCACAAACGTCTTTTGAAACGGGGAGAACTTTGATACGGCTCAAAGTTCAACTTAGACTCACGGCATCTATAAACTTTCAGCCCATCTTCAGATACAGTTTGCACCCCTCTGCATATGTGTCTAATTCTTTGATATACAAATGGCACCTTCCAATACTCCAAAAATATCGCTCTACCTCTTACCATGCTGAATCCATTTGCATTTTCGTTTTCAACCAATAATGTCTGCGGCGACCAAAGGAGCGGTGGATTCGCCTCCCGGTTATGTACCCCATTTTGATCACCCACAAGATGTCATACATACTCTCAGCTTGATCACTGTTATTCTTGCCATTGTAATGGTTACCGTGTTTGTGATGTTCAGATTGTATATCAGGTTGTTCGTTGCGGGTGGCAATTATCGAGATGATCGTGAGTACCGAAGCATAATCATAGAGCCTTCCTAACGATTAGTAGCCACTTGTTTAGCTACCTGTGTCATAGCATGGGTTTGTCCTGCCCCTTACCTTCATTTCATTACATGCGACTTATAAAGATTAGGCTCTTTCGTGTGGTTACTTTTCTACTGCAATTCCTAGTAAGTTCTCCATGCGAATACTTCGAAGTGACTATCTAACATCTACAAGTGGCATTACATGGAGGAGGGTCAAACGAGTGGGAAGTCACACAAGAAGACATGATTCAATTTAACCAGGTACTCTTCCTCCGATCGGGGTCCTAACTCACATTCTCGCTAAACTGATGTAGGCAGTATATGGGGATGCAATTGTTTATGGTCCGGCGGCATTTTTCACTAAAGCAACAATACTTCTCTTATTCGCTAGAGTGTTCTCACCATTCAGGAAGACTGTGATATTTATCTACGTTTTCATGGTGTGTATGCTGCTCTACTATATACCAACTATGGGTATCAAAATAGGAATTTGCAACCCCATAGCGGGACAGTGGGACAAGAGCATTCCGACGAAGTGTATCGACGAGCGGCAGGTTTTTAAAACTGACACTGTAGCGTCCGTGGGCACTGACTTGGTAGTTCTGATTTTACCAGTGGTATTGTAAGCACTAAGAAAGTCTCAATAATAGTAAACACTTAGCTTCATGCTAACTATTTGCACAGGACTCGGTCTCTCAGAATGTCAATGGAGAAGAAGCTTAAAATCATGGCATTACTTGTAGCAGGTGGACTCGCAGCAGGATCGTCCGTTGTCCGACTGGTTCTAGTTTTCCAACCTAACAGCTTCGACAACATCACCATTACTTTTGTACGCTTGTATCTTTTAGCGTATGTATAATAATCACAAACAGCATGCGTACTCACTCTGATCATGTAATAAAACAGTGTTGCGGAGCTGACAATCGGGCTATCATGCGCCTGCATTCCATCTATAGCCGCGTTCTTCGCCAGGAAAAAGGCCGCCAAGGAGGAGGCAGGAAAACAATATAGCAACTCCATCAGACTCAGTAGGAGGTGGACATCGACATTTGGATCGGAACCTAAAAGGCCAATAGCAAACACAACCAGATCAACTTTTTTGGACTCGGACTCTGGAACATACATGGAATTAGAGTGGGGGAAAAACATGGTTACAAATAATTCGATTTCTCCTACCAAGTCCTCCAACAGTCGCTTTTCCCTTCCGATCGAAGGTACGCAAGAACGCGAGGAATTCAAAGATAAGACTCGCCATTGGAGTCAGGGTGGAGCGGATAGGGAGACTCGTCTTTGGGGAGAGCCTTGGGATGGAAGTCAGTTTGAATGCATTTCACGGTTTCAAGATGCGCATATGGGAACTCGGGTGTCGTTGGATGGAACGATTGTTGTAACTCCTTTGCAACCTATCCCTCCAATCCCTCCAATCCCTCCTCTTCCTCCTCTTCCTCCTCTTCCTCCTCTTTACGGTCCCATGTATCATGCGCCTCTCTCCACACCTAATCATGGGAGAAGAGCTGGATCTGACAATCCCTGGTAATTAATTTCACACGCGTGTTGGATAGGAACAAAGTGATATACATCTGCACCCATGGACTGTAATAGAACAGAATTTGGTAATTGGGTACACAAATAATATTTTTATCATATTCTCTCCCATATCTCGCTCTGGGGAACTTTCCAAGAGACCGCAGATATTCTATGTTGCTTCTGGTAAGAAATAGGTTGCATTTCATGAACTCATGGTAGTAGCGCCAAGCATAATTTTTAACTTTGACCTGGGGCTCAGACAATCCTTTTTTGATATGAGGAAAGTTTGATGTCATATATTAAGGTTGGAGATTCTCTTAGACTCACACTAAGAGAACTAGAACTTTCCGCTCCGCTTCCGTTGAATCCCCCGTGAGAAGGAGGTGGTATCTTCCATAGAGCTCTCTGGCAAAAAGGCTATGTTGTCCTCGTGGTACTGAGAAGGTGGAGGGAGACGGAAGGACGGTCTGAACAACAATCTAAACAATGACAGCTCTATTTTTGCTGAACTTCTGTTGCATATCGCGCATTGTGTGGGGGAACAAAATGGTCATGTCATCCCAACTGATTAGACTTCTTGGTCCCACGTATGGAAACCCATAACTACCCGTCCGCCATTAGAATTTACAAAACAAAAAGTAGTTTTTAATTATACTGGAATAAGAGTATTAGCTATAATAGAGTACGAAACTACTAGGAAAAGTGTTTTTAATAGCGTACTTATTCTATAAGGCTGGAAATCCTAGTTCCGGACAATGAAGAGAGCGATTAGTAAGCAAGAACTGTCCAATTAAAGCCCTTGTTCTCCTTATTAGCCACACTTGGCCAGGTACGCCACACTTGGCCACTATGTACGCCACAGTTAGCAAGGTTAGCTATTCCTACTACTTTATTTATAGAAGAAAAGGAAGGGTTAAGTATATTAGATTATAAGCTATAGGGGGTATAGTAGACCCTAGGGGGTATACTAAGCCCTAGGGGGTACTAAGTCCTAAGAGGTCTATTAAGCCCTAGGGGGTATACTAAGTCCTAAGGGGGTAGGGATTACTAAGCCCTAGGAGATAACTAGTAAAGAAAAGATTTATTAATATTCTACTAACCCTAGCCCTAACCCGCGTACTAGGAAGAGCTAGCCCTAGGTAGAGAAAACTAGCTATACTATTAATTATAAGTTAAATAACTAATAATTGTAAGTTAAATGACTAATAATTATAAGTCAAATAGCGGACAAGTAGTTATCGTTTTAATAAAATAATTCTAATGGGGGATAGGTAGTTATCGTTCTAGTAAAAAAGTTCTAATGGCGGACGGGTAGTTACAGTCGCCCAGACCCACGTTTCACCTTACCCCACGCGAGACTCCCATCAACGTCCCCCAAGCCTCTTCAACATCCTGTGGGACATCGACATGAGCAATGAAGCCCTTTCCTTTGGGCCCATACCCCTCGTTATCGTCCCTCAGCCTAGGTATTTCGCCTACAAGCAGCTCCACAAACCGATTCATTTTCCAGAGCTCTTTTGCTTCGATGTTCTCAACGTCAAACCCTGATCCCGAATCCAAATCACGAACTTTCGGTATGAAAGTTGGACAACTAAGGAACTCGGGTCTGTTCTCAAGATTGGAGTATGTCTTTTGGAATGAGGCTATGGTCCGCAGCGACATGGTGGGATCTTGAATAATCACATATCTTCCAGACGATGGAACCCCCGAGTTCTCCAGCAACTTGCGAGCTTCGATAGCGTTGGAACCACAATTCGTCGATTTATCCTCAATCAAGATCTCGCATCCTGCACTTTTTATCATATCCACATCAAAGAAACGATTCATGATCACCTCCAACACTCTGGCTTCCGGTAACCCGATGACATCGTCTTTGATCTTATGATAGGTTTCGTGTTGAGCGACAGCTTCGTAGATAAGTGGTGTTGAATGGCCGACTCCACCACATAAGACGAGGTATTTGGTAAGTCGTGGGGTGTTTTGAAGAGTGGAGAAGAGGTAGCTTGCGCTGTAGAGAACTGATGATGCGCATATGACTATGCAGTCAACTGGTTCTTGGGAAGACAGAGAGAGGATTTGGGGATGGGCTAGGAACCTAGCGAGTTTGTTTATGTCGGCTGTAGACATGGTTGTGTGTGGTTGGGTAGTCATGGCTTCAAGTGGCAGAGAAACCAGGGGGTTTAAGCTTGTAGTTGTACAGTACTTGAGGAACCCCCACGCTCCACAAAGACGGTATTTTTTCTTTTCCTGTTCCTTTTTGTTTTGTTTCTGGCGAAACTGAACACAGGGACTTGAACGCAGATATTTCAATGTAAGTCAAGGGAACCCGATTTATCAAAATATAGGTACACGTGATATCAGGTGAGCACATGCCCCCACCTTTTGTCAAATCTCTTAGTATCAAGTACGGCTTATAATCACTAACCTATTACATTCTGAGCCTCATATAAACGGCGCAAAAATACGGAGTGTTTTCGGTGGAATACCCGGGTACTTTACTAAATAATCAAAGATCTTACTCAGACCCAGATCGGTTCCCATAGGCTGATGCTCTGTTAGTAATCCGGACGACCGGGCTACAATACGTTCGCTCGTATTAGCTTCCAAAACAAGTGCTTTACCTTCTCGAGTATCAACGAGAGACGTAGGGTGTCAATTTTCTAGAGAAGAAAGGCCGTCACAGACTTTTGAATGGTGGTTAAGATTATTGAGACTCGACACAGAGGCCTAAGGTGGTTGGGAACTAGACGGAAAAGACCTGGGTTCTGTGGAAAGTAATGTTGTAAGTGCTACATGTATAAAAGAGCCTCAGCTTGAGGCTAAACCTCTCTAAAAGCTACTCTTACTCACATTTTGGATGTATTTCAAGTTCTAACGTACTAAGGTACCTTGAAAGATGCTTGAAAAGGACCAGCAAGGGCACCTCTAGAGGGACTTTGGTGCGGCCAAGTATAAAAATGTCGAGATTAAAGTCTCATGTCTCTTTGGGCCTCTACGTCGAGCTTTTACGGTAACGTGCTATATAAGATGTGGGTCTGTCTATAGGCGAGGAAGAAAACTAAATACCACTCAGCCAGCCTTACAGGTGCAACGCTTCTAGAATAATTTCTTGCCACTGCTCGTGTCCTATTCGGGCTTTGGACTCCCATGCTGTACATCCACGTGGTATGTGTTACATTGCATATATGTTGCACAAAGAAATCAGGCAATGCCATCCGGGGTCAGTTAAGCTGGAGGCAATATTAAAAACCAGTCACCACTCAAGAAATAGAAACGCCATATATGGAAAACGAATGAACTTGCTCCTCACGTGTGTGATTGTCCTCTGTTGGGTTTCGTGGCTTGGTGTTGGTGATCCGGAGAGCCTATTATCAAATACTGTCGCCGGAAACCTCTGCGGCCCTTTTTCATTCCCCGGATGAACGGTTTGCGGCACAGCCGTTGAGAATCCAAGGTCCAGATGCTGAAGGCTTCGAGTCGCCCAAGTTCTCTGCTGACAGGTCCTCTGTCTTGCTACCTTTTGTTGGAGTAATCTTGATCCAGTCCTCCCAAGATCCCATGACTTGAATGTGGGTTGGTTGGTCGTTGTTGGGAATCTTTGATGGCATTCTTCACTACATACGGTCCATTCGGGCATTCATCCGCCTTGGCTTATTCTCCTTTGAGGAACCCGAATGAATGGGTAGATACAACTGCGGCTCAGACCCTTGTTTGGAGACCCCGCATCTCCAGGTTTTCACTCGCCTCGCTAGCCTGGTCAAATATGTTCACGCTTTAGGCTAAAGACGAAAAAGACGCTGCGGTGTGACCAGCGAGGATGCACACTAGATATAAACGTATACATATACACCCTTTCCACCCTCTCGAGCTTTTCGTCTTACCGCCCAAACTTGCAACCCGACGCAAGTTGTTCAAAATTGGGTGATGAACATTTCCGTTTCTCTCTTTAAAGCAACCATTACACTTTCGGGTTAGTCAGAATGGTTGGTGCAGGATTAACAGATCCGATCCTCACTCGGTTGGCCGCGGAGGATCATGTCAAATGGTACAAGAAACCAAATTTGAGGTTGATGTACTTCTACCTCTTTCTTTGCTGTATGGGAGTCGAGATGACATCTGGTTTCGATTCAACACTAATCGGGACTTTGCAATTCTCTCCTCCGTGGAACAAATGTGGGTTATTCCCAAGGCTTCTTTACCCTGATACAATATACTGATAGAACTTCCCAGATTTTTCCGATGGCACTTTAGATGCGAAAAAAAAGCCAACCCTATCTCCTGCGCTTCTCGGATTCGTCTCGTCGTGCTATCAACTTGGTTCTATAATTGGCGTTCCAATCGCTCCTTGGGTTAATCAACGCTTTGGGAGAAGATGGTCTGTTATGTCAGGCTCCATAATCATGGTCATTGGGGCACTGATACAAGGGTTCGCTCAAAATCGTATGTCTTGAAACAAAACTTCTTATCTCCAAACAAAGACTGATACTACTAATGTAGTTGGGATGTATGTTTTCTCACGTATGGTTCTTGGGTTTGGGATTGTGTTCTGTATTATATCGGGTTCCTCCTTAATCGGAGAATTGGGTCATCCCAAAGATCGTCCAACCTTGACTTCCCTTTTCAATGCCTCCTATTTTATCGGTCAAATTACTGCATCAGCAATCAGTTTAGCTACCACCGAAATTTTGAATGATTGGAGTTGGCGAGTTCCATCCCTATTGCAAATGGTACCCTCGCTTTTGCAGATCGCATTCATCTTGTAAGTGTTCGTTGCACCAATACTTCCATTCCTGGCTAACCTTCATACACAGCATGATTCCGGAAAGCCCTAGATATCTTATCAGTAGAGATAGAGATGATGAAGCCTTTGCCATTCTTGCCAAGTATCACGCAGAAGGTGATGCTGACTCATTGCTTGTGAAAGCTGAGATGGCACAAATCAAATCGACCATCAAGATTGAACTCGATAACTCTCAACAATCATGGCTTGAAATGGTCAAAACCTCTGGAATGCGTCGTCGTGTCCTTATAGCCGCCTTTCTCGGTCTTTTCACTCAAATGTCTGGAAACACCTTGCTTTCGTATTATCAAAATATCCTTTATGAGATGATGGGTTACACTTCCACATTTGCCAAGACTAGAATCAATCTGGCCAACGCTTGCTGGAGTCTGCTCGTTGCATGTGTAGCAGCTTTCCTCGTTGCTAGATTCAAGCGTCGAACCATGTTTATGATCTCGGCTGGCTCAATGCTGTCAACGTTCATAGGCATGACTGTCTCATTCCAACGTTTGAGTCTAGCTAAGGCTCTGAAGAGGACAAACAAATCTGCCGGTATTGCAGCATTATTCTTCTACTTTGCGTACACCCCGTGCTACAATTTAGGCAATAACGCGTTGACATATAGTAAGTTATGAAGATCAGGATCTCAAGTGTTAAGCTAATTACTCCAGCCTACCTCGTTGAGCTCTTTCCATACGCCCAAAGGACTCGTGGTATCGGAATCGAGCAGATATTTGGAAAGGCAGGAGGCTTCTTCTCCCAAAATGTCAATCCCATCGCTATGAATGCTATCGGATGGAAGTTCTTCGCTATCTATTGTGGTTGGATTGCCTTTGAATTTTCCTTCATCTACTTCCTTTACCCTGAGACCTCGGGAAGAACCCTGGAAGAGTTGGCATTCTGTAAGTTTCTTCGGAATCAATTTGACAATCAGACAACCACTAACATACGATGCAGTGTTCGAAGACAAGGACCTCGCTGACCGGGCAGTCATTGCCGTCGAGAAACAAATTCATAACGATGACATGGTTGGTGAAGAAAAGCAGACCGTGGTACATTCTGAGAGGGGTATTTGAATTGGTGTTGGCTAGGTTAATATTTGCTTTGGGATGTTAATTTACACGTATTCGCGGGTTGTTACATTGATACTCCGATTAATCAACAAGCATCCCGTTCCTGCAATGCTTTTAGATATGTGCAATTCCATTTCTCGTTTCAAATGAATAAATGTACGCCTAGCCGTAATGTGTACTTTCGCACATGTTTAATATATCTTGATTACCAACCAGAAGGATCACATCGCTTACGGAGTAATTCCTGGCCGGGAAACGGCGTTATTAATTGTCTTGGAAGTAAAGCATGAGCGGGGCACATTGAAATTCCGCCTGAGAGGCGCATTGAGATTGGCATTCCTTAGAAGACAATAACAAATTCTTCATTGCTAATCAACTCCGCCGATTTATATAACAAAAAGTGTAAAAGTCTGTGGATCATCCTTCCTTTCTTTACCAATGTTTTGTAGGTCATGTGATCGTCCCCCTTTTTTTCACGAAGCGAACGTCAAGGAAACCCTACTTATGGAAATTCCCTCGGCATATCTCAAGTCAGAAACCCCATGATAATTGAATCATCTTCCTTAATCACGAGTAAAATTGGCCACTACGCCACCTTCTTCCAGGACTATTCTTTCACCATGCACAGCAGCCGGAAAGATTGTGGCGTTGAGTTTGTATATCAAAGGATAGTCGTTCCGAAACTTAGAACCCCACTATAAGCGATATAGTAACAACATGCTATGTAGATATATTACACGATATTGAGTGGTCTTATTTGTAGGCCACCTGTTAAAAGTATGCTTGGGTTACATAACTATATTCCACGGGAATTTAAGATAACTTGCGAAGAGATTTACTATGCGATGGTTTCATCGACCGTAAAACATGGGTCAGCTTTCTTCACAGTTTGGCAATCGCGAGGATGTGCTAAAGGGGGTGGATCTTGTTTATTTTATCTGTTTCACAATTTCAAATGAATCAAATTGTTTTAATATAATTCAATTATTTAACCCTTTTTGGGGAACAAAATATTATACATAACTTTAAATATATGAGATATTAGCAGTCACCCAGCCCATCCTTGGTAAAGAACATTACTCAAAAAGATTGCATAACCTAGAAATACAGTAAACAAAATGTGCAAGCGAACTAAACACATTTGTATGGCCAGCCACACAAAACTAAATCACTGAATAACCAAAAACCGAATAAATCAATAAAATCAATGCTTTGCTCTTCTATTCTCAGCTAGAAGATCTAATTTACACAGGCTATAGACCACTCGCTCGACGCCTGTTCCATACACCACCAAAGATCAATTGTCTTGAATCAAGATATCCAAGACAGTAAGAAGATACCTGCAAGCAGGGTCAAATGTATTTTATACATGAAAGTAATGCTCAGGACTTCGAGCCCAGTCGTAATTTGTTTTCTTTATCCAAAAGAAAGTTCTCGCCACAAGATGCTCATCCTCAATGACTTAGGTGCATTGGGAGTAGTACTCGTTCAGAACAATGCAGGACGATCCAGTTTCACATTGGGTTGATCCAGTGAAACCTGTTCCACCACATTGACCGTGCTTAGCAATGGTTCCGCCACCCTCTCCTCCAGGAGCGGGAGTGGCCTTGACAGTGACCTTATCAAGAGTGGTTGGGGTGCTGTCTTTGATGTTGTTGCAGCTATCATTGACAGGTTCGCCTGCTGGAGCTGGTGTTGGGGTTGCATCGGCCTTCTTGACAGGTGCACCAGTTGGGGTTGGGGTGGTAGCTGGTGGTGCTCCAGCTGGGGCGTCTCCAGCGGGCTTAGCATCATTGCCAGCAGGTGCCGCTCCTCCTGCTCCACCAGTAAAGGGTCTTGGACCAGGAATGGGGTATGAGTCGAATTGACCATAAACGTTGAAAAGAATACCTGGGTCTTCGGTCTTGTAAACACCTGGAATGGCAACTCCTGCTGGGAGAGGCTATTATGTGTTAGTTGATGTTCGAATAGTTTGATTCTAGAAGTGACTTACGGTGGCACCAGAACCAGTGATCCTGATCTGAACACACTCCATGTACAATTGAGCACCACGCCCTTTTGCTTCGGTTGAATCAGCCTCGTGGAGGGCAATGATCTCACCACGAAGAAGGTATTCTCCTGGTGCGATACCGGCTGGGATCTTGAAAGTCTGCTTGCCCCTGTTGGCAATCAGATTGTCGGTGGCCCATTTTCCACCTGAGAAACCCTCTTCAGCAATCTTTACCCAGACGTCTCCAGCTCCATTTGATGAAGTTGGCGACATCCAGGCCGTGACTGGTCCCACGTGGGATTTGTCTAGGATATCATCCTTGGGGTCGGGCTTGTTGTGGAACCATTGGAGGATAACCTCAGCGCCGTCAGGGACATCAATAGTCTTTGCAACGGGGATATCACCGTTGATGTTACAAGCGAGATTTTTGTCATCGAGTTTTTTCAGTGGATCGTTGTTTTTGGGAACTCGAACGTATGCTAAACTTGCGTCTATTCCTGCAGCAGTACTCCCGACACCTTGGTCGACACCATTCACTGAGGCTTGGAAAATCCAGGTGTGGGCCGAGGCGACGGCCATCAATGCCGAAGACGCCAGGACTGTTGAGTACTTCATATTTGCGGTATTGAATTTCAATGTGTTTTGAGAGGTTGAATTTTGGATAGAGTAGACTTGAGCACAAATGGTTGGTTGATGAAACGAAAGTGTTCGGTAAGGAGTGTAAGTGTGAGATAATGAGCGACTGGCGCGAGGCGGATGAGATGGGGAAAGAAATCACTTAGAAGAAGGAGAGACTCCAGAGTCTATATACTTTGCGCCACCCGGAGAAATTTAGCTGATATCTTTGACTTCCGTCTAGATTTCCATGGCTATGCTATGCGCCGCCAAGGGTCGTCTACTGAGGTACGAAGTACTTCTAACAACCCTGATGCGCAGTGAAACCCAGTCCAAGAGATATCAATATAATTTAGAGGCAAGGGATGTGTGGAAATGATCACCATTATCCACATAAATCAACTTTTAATGATCGAATGAGGTCTGTGTTTCAAAAATGCCTGTGTTCGCGGTGAGCAGGCGCGCTAAAATCCCCAATTTGCCTTGGGGAGGAACAAGGGGCGGAGGCTCACCCATGCTCACTCCTTCCTGTGGGCTATTCCAACCCGTCTCCTCGGTTGAGGTTTGTCCTGAGCGGTGGAATAATTAACCATAAGCTGAGGCTCATCTACTCCTTCAATGTCGTTGGAATCTGACAGATTCCGACTGGCTTCTGGTGTACGCCATCGTGAAACTTCATCTTGTTAAACTTGACTGGGGTCTGCCCGCCAACGTCGCTTCTCGGGGTGAGCCGGCGCTTATTGAACAGGTTCCAAGGTTTACCTAACATGGTAAACTTGACTATGTATACCCGCCATATCCCTTTGATGATGAAAACGTCAAATGTCTGGATATTACGAAGATCTAGTATGAATTCCAGAGAGGCACGAGAAAAAGCATAAACCCGAGATGTTCGTATGGATTAAAGAGTATAATTTCTTCGTGGATTTTTTGGCACAGTTATCCACATTTTTTCATGACGTTGGCAACCCACAAATATCAATGCCTTGAAGCCTTATGAAGCTTATTTTATCCGAACACGCTGGCGTGACACTAGAGTGGGTCCACAACGGGTACGGAGTGCGTAAATCTACAGTATTTAACGAAATTCGGAATATTCAACAGTGCGGGGTCAACGTCTCATCTGATTTATGCTCCCTGAACTTCCTATACAAGATCACTTCTGACGTCGTGATGTCTCCTACTACGACATATCTGATATTTCGAAACATATTCGTCCTCTCTCTGTTCTTGGGGGACTTGCTGATGAGTAAGATAGGTAGAAACTATGAAGCTTAAAATCATAAGTTTTGCTTTGCATTATGGGATATAAAGTATGAAAATATTGGCTCGCTTTCCACTTTATGCCAAGCGATTTCATCTGAAGTCTAAAAGTCCAAGTCCAGTACAGCACAGTAGGGTGTTGCCGCAACACTGTTGCATAGTCCAAAGAAATCGTAAGGTTTCAGAACGTCGATCCAAACCTAAATAGAATCAGCTGAGCTTATGTGCGATCTTCGAGCCTTAACCACGAAGTACGATGAAGGGGTTTTATTTAGATATTTTATCCGAGGAATCGCCCTTTCAATATACATGTGATGAGGTTATTTTGAGGATTGCTGGCGTCAAGTGCTCCCTTTGCACAGCCGTATAGATAGCATTATTTGGAGCATACTGTACATATGTGAATCAAAACAGTACTATGAGCCAGATGCTCAAAGAGTGGCACAAGCTCCATCTCAGCCTCTTGATGAACGCTCAAAAGGTGTATGTGGGTGGTTCGGAAGAATCAAGGTGGCCTTGCATCTCGGGAGATGGTTACCCCCGATGGAATAAGGGGTTCTCAAATTCACAACTTCAATTCATCAAGTTTGCAACACTTATGGATTCAGATTCCAAGGTTGGGCCAGGTTGCTTCTTCATCGGAAGGCTATAGCGGACCGAACACATGGGACGAAGATTCTCCGTACTAAAAGTTACCCGTGGCCCGGTACTGAAGGAGGTAGCTGCGCGCAATCAAAAGGATCAATGACACTTGAAGCAGGCAGCCTTACACTATGTGCTTACGCTATTAAGGAGTCATTCATTTGTCCACATGAAAAGATGCCAAGTGTGTTGCATCGTGTCAAGCTCGTCATCGGTTGACTCGGTTCGTGGAGGCTCAACATAACGTTTTGCTAAACCTATGATCTGAACTTGGCCACTAGTTGTCAGATCTTGGGTCGAGAATTCTGAGAGCAATGTGATCAAGCACGGGAATAAACAAAATTCCATGGGCTGGCTAGTCAACAATCGGGATGAAGTTATAATTAACTAGCGAGCGATGCAAGTTTAGCCATGATTGAGTTGCGACTGTCGCACACACTCGTTTGGAAGAAAGTGAAACGGAAGCGAGAAAGTTGTAGCGCTGGAAGCGACCACATCACCATTAATAATAATTACAATCCAACGCAATTGGTCTAGAAGAACTTTGAAATTGGTAGACTTCCAAAAGGAGATAATGCGTTTTGGGTTGCAGGTTACAAAACACGTTTTGGCCGTGACGTTGAGTCTCGAGCCGAGAGTCTCATCGCTAATCCCCTAAGATCTTGGGCAACTGAGTTGTCAGATCCTTCTCCATAGGTCCGTCGAATCACGAAGTTACTTCGCAGCTATACTTCAAATCCAAGCCCAAGCCACCACTGGAACGAAGTTCTGGTGAGTTTTGTTTGAGGGTAGTTATCATCAGGATCAAGCCTTCTTATACAAACTCGAAAACTCGCACCTAGGAGTCAGATATTTCCTTGCAGCAAGACCTATCCTTGGATGTCTATTCTATTTCTTTTCATGAGACAGCATTAGCATAGCTCAAGATAGCTCAAGCTAATTTGAAGTGCTTCGAAGTATATACAAATTAGGGGCGAAGGAAGGGTTTCAAGATACTTGGTACATAATAGTCAAGCTTCAACCAATGTGGTTTCCTAGAATCTCAAGAGTAAGAAATGACCAGAGTAGAGTAGAGTAGTAGCACCAACTCTAGCCTAGTACATCTAATTATCCTTCCTTCATAAGGAATACTCTAGTTTATAAGGCTTAGACTTCGTAGTTATTAGAGTTAGAATATAGAGTAAAAAAGGAAAATCGGAACAGAGCACCCCCAAAAAGGCATTTTACTTAATTTGGTTTTAACCCTACTCTACTTCACTCGCTAAGTACTTAAGTACTACTTAAGTAGTACAGAGAAATCCGGGCCGAGTCTTTGCTAGACGTTCTAATAGCTTAGACTTAGCGGCCTCGTATGATAGGTATAAGCGATAGTATAACCGGGCGCTTTCGAGTCGAGCATCCCGTCTATTTCAATAGCACATACCACTTGATAATGGTAGAAGATTTCTGTATGGAGGAAGGCAACGAACAAGATACGAGAGCTCCTATTGAATGACGATTAAATTATGTTTTGTTTACGTTTTAGCTAAGTTACTACTTAAGTAGTGAAATCTAGTACTTATTACTACTTAGTTATTATGATCCGCTACTCTAACTAAGTACTACTGAGTAGTACTCGAGTAATTGAGTGGTTCTTTCTTACGCTGATAAGAATCTCAATAAAATACTCACACCTCAGAAACCAACAAGAATCATATACGACTCTTCTACTAAGATTAGGCCCCGCATCGGTACTTAATGTAATCAGACCTCTACTTTGTACTAGGAAGCTTGCATAATCAAATGGATTTGCATGAAAGTGACATCTTGTGAATCACAGAAAACTAGAAAAAGACGAATGAATAATCTTTGACAAAGATGTGAGCATGTTGTAAAAGCTTCCCACTAACTCATTACCTTTAGTCTTACATCGAGTCACAACAGAGAGCATGTCACACTCACAGGTAGAGTTACTCGACAGTTACTGTTAGTTACCCTCGAGATCAGAAATCAAAGAATACCACCAGAAATGCTTCTAAGCACCTACGATCGAAAGACTCTAGGAAAGTGTAAGTCACGTCACCTATAAAACGAAAATTCAAATCTCTAAACTCGAGTACATCGAAATATTCAAAAGATAGGGATTATAGATGTTCAACAATCGATAGATGAATTGCTATATACAAGGTCAAAATAGCTTATGAAAAGGGTTAAAGATGTAAAATTTTAAATCTTAATACAAAATAGACAGTGTATCGTAAATCCTCGAGAAGATAGACCTGTATCTCAACAAGGACCAAACATTCCGAATCGCTAAAAAGAAAACAAGAGCTCCTCCCTTCAATCCCCCATCGCAGCAGTTTAAAAGTCTATAGTCTGCACCCTCTAAAATCCTCCAAAAAGAAACTCAAAATTTCATCACAGACCCAAAAGTCTATAGTCCGCGCCCTGTGAAGAATTCCAAAAGAATAGTCCCCCCAAGATGGAACTTCAAGCCTTCCCTCTCTCATCTCTCAACCAACAGTCCCAGAAGGCTCCGTGGCATTACCCGGCACCACCTCCCTAACCTCATCCCAAACCCCCACCTCACAATCAAACTCACACATATAAACCACACCCTCGACCCCCTTCGCACCCGCCCCCATCTCACACGCATGCTTCATCCCCTTCAAGCCGGTAGTCTCCTCATTATACCGATCGCCCTTGTACTTAAAGCTGGGCCAGTGGGTGGTCGCCACCACGACGTAGGGCAGCTCGCTGTACAGGTTGAAGTTCTCTGTGAGCGCTGGGATGGTGTTGTTGTTGCCGATGAGGCGGCAGTGCGAGTTGTACAGCTCGAGGGTGTGCAGTTTGGGGGTTGCGGCGGGCCAGCTGACTGCCAGCGTGCAGATTCCGGGGGTGGCGGGCTTGCAGAAGGGTTTTTGGAGGGGGACGGGGTGGGATTTGCGGGGGGTGAGGGAGAGGGGTGTGGCGTGGAGGGGGGTTGTGAGGAGGAGGGTGGTGAGGGTGGTGAGGAGATGCATTCTAGTGTTGTTAGTTTATTTTTCTTGTCTGTAGATGTGAAATATTCGTCCAGCGTATATTCTTTTCTTGCGTCGTGATGTTTAAACCAGTCTCTCGTTTCTGAGATACAGCTTCTATTATATTCTCAGAACCAGGCCGTAGAAGATCCATCTTTCACCTCGTCCTTCATGTTATTAATGAACGATCTCGANGCAGGAGGGAGAGGGGTGTGGCGTGGAGGGGGGTTGTGAGGAGGAGGGTGGTGAGGGTGGTGAGGAGATGCATTCTAGTGTTGTTAGTTTATTTTTCTTGTCTGTAGATGTGAAATATTCGTCCAGCGTATATTCTTTTCTTGCGTCGTGATGTTTAAACCAGTCTCTCGTTTCTGAGATACAGCTTCTATTATATTCTCAGAACCAGGCCGTAGAAGATCCATCTTTCACCTCGTCCTTCATGTTATTAATGAACGATCTCGATATAGACTGCTCACTCGAACAGTTCTAATAACAATCGCAATCCAGCACATCTACGTACAACAGCTGCTGTACACAGACACACCATTCCAGAACCCATCGAAGGTTACACAACCTCGAGTCCTTTGTATAACCGTCGAGAAAGAAAGACCCCTCAACTACGAACACTAAGAAAAAAGAAGAATATATTTACCTGCACTAAAATCAACACACTGTATCTTTGTCCACTCAAGCTCCGACCCACGTCTCAAAAAGATGAATAATAATAAAAGTGAATGAAAAGGACCAAAGGAATCCAAAACAATAACTACCAAAGCTTACAATTCCATATCAGTCCGGCCGTCCGTCGGTCAAAAAGAGAGTGTGAGAGTGAGAGTTATCAATTACCAACCGCCCCCCCAAAAATGATAGTAAATGCGATGGCCGTGAATCCCTCCTCGTATGAGCGAGCCTTCGTAGAAGTAGTTTTATGACGGGATGCGCAAACAAGGCGCCAAGCAACTCACAACATGGACCCAGCATGACGCGGAACTCCCGACCGCAGGAGGGAGGGAACTAGACTGCAGTCTTTCGAGGGTTTCTGCAACGCGCCAATGCTGTCGAGGAGGAACATCAGACGAAAGCGATTACGGGACGGGGTCAGAAGTGGGCACGCGGGGTGTACGCACTGACGGGTTTGGTAGGGAATGTCTGCTTGGCTGTGGTTAATGAGAAACATGAGGCTGTATTGTTATTTTAAGACCTGGAAAGTGGGAGTATGGACATGCCAGAAGAGAAACATTGGAAATACCAATACATATATATATTTAGGACAACTGGAAAATTCTCATCGCTAACAACTAGCGTAGGAATGCAATAAATAAAAAAAGAAACAAAATACTCCGGGGATTCGTGAATACCTACCTACTAATTCTCCTTAATAAACAAGGAAAGAAAGAGACCTGTCCCGGGATTTAAAACGATCTTCTAAATACAGAGGTTCGTTTCTACTAGATTACTCTAATCAAAAAAAAAAGGGATCAGAAGTAGACGTGACGTGTTCGTGGATCGTAATCAGAAGATGTTTCATACAGTACCATGCCTACTGCGTAAATTCGCAATAAGTACAGTTCAGTTCAAGGCTTTCAAAGTAATACCTCTCGAAGTACCAGTACGAGAGATACTCCCGTCGTAAATAAGCGGTAATCTTACAAGAACAGTAATTACAAAGGTATATGGACGTAGTAATACCGTGATAGTTGATTGATTAACGTTGAAACAAAGGACGAGTAAGATTACCGAGTTAAGTACTCGTCCGTCCTAGGTCCGTATCTGGATGGAAGATTTTTGGATATTTACGTGATTGAACTGGTGGATGTATTGTGGTAGGTATTTGGTAGGACGATAGTATAAGTAAATACCTCAAAAATAGCAGAAGTTACCAAAATCACCCCCCTCTTGTGCCACTAATAGTCTCACAGTCTCACAGATCATCTTCTATACTCCTATACTCCCTATACTCCTATACTCCCTATACTCCTATACTCCCTATACACCTATACTCCCTATACACCTATACTCCCTATACACCTATACTCCCTATACTCCTATACTCCCTATACACCTATACTCCCTATACACCTATACTCCCTATGCTCCTATACTCCCTATACACCTATACTCCCTATACTCCCTATACTCCTATACTCCCTATCTCCCTAGCTCCCTCCCTAGGCACTGCGTAAAAAAATACAACCCCAATCTTCTCCAATCTTCCCCATTATCTATATAAAAAGAACTTCTTTACTCGTACCATACCCTTCTCACCACTACGTCACTACGCCACTTAAACCTTCTAAACAGTCCTTAACACCATCTCCATACTATCTCCGTACTCTCTCCTACCAAAATACCTTAGAGACGATTTATGATTCATCACGGTAGCAGGATAAAGGGGGAACACTATCACGTAGATCATATATAAGAAAGTTCAATATCGTTCAGATCTAAGTGTTTGATTCGCTGGTTTAGTTAAAAAACGGGGCTGAGGGATATTGTCGTTAGTGATAGTGACAGTGTCCTACTTTAACTGTCTTTGGTATGCTTGATATGTTGGATATGGGGGAGGAGAGAGGAGGGATTTAGCTTGTTTGGTATGTGTAAGACCCTATACCAGTAGGTATCAATCATCAACTATCAATCATCCCCTACCCCCCTCCCATCCCCCAAAACCCTCTCAACCCCATTCCCCACCCCTAACCCCTCACCCTCCCCTCCACCACCCCCTGATGCCCCCTCATCCACACCCCCACAACCTCCACGCCCACACTCCCCAGCAACGTCCGAAACTCCTTCTCACTCCGCTCCTTACCACCAATAGAAAGCATCACCATATCCATCCAGTAGGGACTCATATCCTCACCTACCTCGGTTCGGGCGGGGATGACGAGGTCGGCGATGAGGAGACGCGAGGAGGGGCCCATGGCGGCGACGGTGTTGCGGAGGATGCGGAGGGCGAGGGGGTCGTGGTAGTTGTGGAGGATGCGGCGGAAGTAGTAGATGTGTGCGTCTGGGGATATTAGGGGGGAGTTTATAGGGAGGATAAGGGGATAGGGAAAGGAAGAACGAACTCTTAACAGGCTGCTCAGTATAAAAATCATACTCCATCTTCACCACACCCGCCGCCTCCTCAGGGGAGATACTATCCAACACCACCTTCCGATCCTGCAACACCATCTTTGCGCCACATCCCCAGACACCCTCCGTCTCCTTATTCACAGCGAGCAATGCCTGTCCCCTCCCACCGCCAATATCAACCATAAACGCGCGCTCGGGCTCAGCCAGAACAGCCTCTTTCAACGACGCAAAGGGGAATATGCCTAGGATGGGGAGACCGGCTTCTTGCTGTGTCATGGCTTTGTTGAACATGTTGAGACGTTCGGGTGAGGCGGTGAGGACCTCGTAGAAGGTGTGGCCTTCCATGTTGTAGGCGAAGGAGTAGGGGGTCTTGCGGAGGTCAAGGAGGTCGCTTGGGGTTTTGGTTTTGAAGTATTCTGGCCAGCGGAAGTAGGAGGCGCGCATGTTTATGCTGTTTTAGTATGTTAGTCTTCACTCCTTCAGCGTGACAAGGGAATTGGAAATACCATAGGTTGAAGAAGTCTACGGCTGCTCCTTCGAGGTAGATTTTGGATTTGGGCGTGTGGGAGTAGGTGTCTTCTCCGACTAAGTCGATGATACCGGTTCCTGTGAGCATCCTCATGAGACGGACTGAATAATGTTAGAAAATATCTCTGTGTGTAGTTCGAACTCAGGTTACATACCTACGATTCCGGGCTCCAAATTGATTGCAGCTCCGAGTTCTTTTGCTGTGATGCTACCTTGTTTGGGCATTTTCTCAAAAGCTCCCATTTGTACCATGACATCTAGAGCAGTCGATGTATTCATCTACATAGTAATACTCAGCAATTGGACCTCTCTGAATTGATGAAAGCTTCCGAAATCGAGCATAGAAAATCATGTGAAGATTGATTAACTTACAAAAGTCCATTGTCTCATCAAACCATCTACAGGATCCTCCAAATCCAAATACATCACATCAAGTTGCTTCATCAACTCGTACCTTTCCCCACGATCGCCCTTGTACTGCTTAGCTGCAGCCAGAATCGCCTCGGCCCTCTTCACCAATTCATCGCTGGAAGAGCCCATCTTTTCGTATTCTCTTTTGCTGGAGGAGGAGAAAACGGGGACGCAATCGATTGCAGGTAAAATTGATGGTGGTATTTTCCCTGAGGAGAGGTACCGAGTACCCAAGATGGTTCTAGATACAAGTGCTATCCCACTCCAGATCCAGGGGACCTAGATCTGGACCTCAGCCACCGAAGAACCCCGCAGTATGTGTAACAGTGGCAACCAACTTCCTCCTTTGTTGGCGGTTTACTGTCTTCACTATTGAAACTTGTACCAAACAGGATGGTGTATATCTCTTCGGTCAAGTGAGACTATTGAGACTTTGGTCCACCATCAGGAGAGATGGCGAATACCGATATCTTTGACAAGTCATTCTTTTCATGGCGGTGTGTTTTCTTTATGTTGGTTGGATGAGGTGATGGAGGTGTTGGATGTTGGGGAAAAAACAATTCTTGCAACGGGTAGAAATCGTACGTCTACGGCCCGGTTGGTAGTGGATCATTCAGTTGGATTTTCGGGCTTTTGATGTATGGGATGTCCCGCAGCGTAGCTACTGCAGCCGAATACCCGTGCCATCGGGGGAAAGTTTAAAGGGTGAAGAAGCTGTAGAAACTATAATCTGTCGCGTTTCGCTTCGGTAGTTGGGCCATGGTTGTGGATGATCAACGCATAGAGAAATTGAAGGTATTCGCAGGTTATAGAAGAGATTGAAGAACACCCTGGCGTACCTAAGACCGATCGTAGGGACGAAATAGCAAAGAATTAGGTAAGGACCGAGGAGAAAAGCAATAGATAAAAATGAAGCCATTATTAGTATTGTGGGCAGTAGTCATGATACTAAAACCAGGACAAGGTTCATCATGTTCATACGCTAACTGCAGCAGCGGCACGTCCCTTTTTCTTGTTGGGTGATAGTTGAGCTCGGATGAAGTAATGGGTACTCTGTAGCTACAGCCTACAGCCTACAACCCACTGTATTATGACTGAGTATGAGTACCCATATGGGTAGGTATGTGGACGGATGATGGGTAGTGGTGTTTGGTTGGTGGCTGGCTGTTGCAGAAATGTGATGTGCGATTCGTTTCGATGCAGATTCTCGCAAGGTAAATATATCAGTCGTCTTCCCCCTCTCGTTCGTTATATTCCTCTCACTCGACTTGATCGGTGGTCGTTCTTGCCTTTTCCAGACAGATTGAGGCAGTACAACAGCCCAAGACCATACCCGTACCTAACTAACACCTGCTAAGAACCCCGCTGGCGATCCCTCTCCACTGATCTTCCGCTAAGGACGGGCCCAGGCATACGCCCACTAGTACGGCTAGAACTCTCCTTCATCGCAGTCGCAATCGCATCTAGTGGCATCGCATTTGCCAGTTTTCCACTACACAAACAAGCCTTTACACATTCAACCTTGAATTTGGCAGAACTAGCAATACTACCTCCCAGCCTATCGCGGACCTGCTAAGCTCAGCCTACTATACCGTACTCCGTACTCGATACATCCAGTGAAATTGATACCTACCGCTACCGCTACCTGCTGTACTTCGACTACTGCTACTGCATCGTAGATAATACCTATACGGATCTATCATCTGCCCAGTGCTTTGGACCAGCCACCTGGATAGTTGTACAAAGCTCTCCACAACCCTTTCTATTGCATGCCCATCTCGCATGCCCATCCTCTTTGTTACATTCAAAACACCGCACTGCCCAGCACCGCTACGCTACGCATTGCAGTCAAGCTCACCTATCTCTCCTCCTCTCTCCTCCTCCTCCCCTTTCGCACTATTTCTGAACCTTGGAATCCTTCCCTCTAAACCTTCACCACGATCAGCCAGATTATTCCCCAATACCTCAGGAAAGGTCCGTGGATCTCACCCTGTTACAGAGCCAGTGTAACCAGGCACAACTAGTACAACCAGTACAACGCGATCTCGAGTTCTGGTAGCCGGAAGTCCATCCCCGTTCCTAAACATGCATGGAGAAGGTGATATGATTGAGGCAGAAAGTGCCAATGTATGTACCGCAGCACCCTACCAACTTCCATCGCGAACTGAACGTTGATGTGCGACTGACGGTTGCAGGGTTTCGATGACGATAGCGCCTATGCCGGTTCATCGTATGCATCCCGAAATAACTCCCTCGAATACGTGTGCCTAGGAAGATGGAATGTGTTGATAACAGGACTTTTAGGTCCGGCAGTTTGACCGAAACTCTTGCGTCGCGGATTGCAAGAGGTGTTGAGGAACATGGAAGGACCTATGCTGCATATGGGAATGAGGGCAAGTTCGAGTCTTTTTATAGGTTGGCATGTGGAAGTCCAGAACTGACGTGGGAGTGGATAGAATACGGTTTACCAATTGACGAAGAGGAGTTGGATCGAATTGATATGTCCCATGCCAAATATGTCATGTTGTTGGAAAAGAAGTATTTCCTAGCACCAATTCCCGCAGAGCCTCAAAGTATTCTGGATTTGGGGACGGGAACTGGCATATGGGCAATAAATGTAAGCATAAACCTTGGGTTTCATAATAATCCAGGCTAACAAGACATCTTGCATAGGTAGCGGACGTATATCCTTCTGCAGAGGTAATTGAAAAGTTTCCACACTCTATCTAATCCGCTAACAAAGCAAATTCCAGGTTTTGGGCTTGGATATTGCACCCACGCAGCCTCAATGGTAAACTCTATCCTACTTGCAATCCACAATCCCGCTAACAATCCATTAGGGTACCCCCAAATTGTCGATTCGAGATAGATGATATTGAGATGCCTTGGACTTTGGAAGAAAATAGTTATGATCTAATCCATGCTCGAGATCTCCTTCTTTCAGTTCGAGATTTCCCGAAACTGATAAAGCAATCTTACGAGTATGAGTCAATATCTTCACGATCAATACGAAACGCTAACAAGCCAATCTTATAGTCATATAAAACCAGGCGGGTACCTGGAGTTACAATCTGTCCTACCACGATTATTATGTGACGACGGTACCACCCCATACGATAGTGGCCTAATGACCTTTTCACGGAACGCTCTCGACGCGTCTAGAATGTAAGTCCTCACCCCACGATCCCAACTATCTATCGGCACCATTTACTGAACCTAAAAAGAATGGGAGCACCCCTAGATGCCTGCGACAGTTACGCATCCCAGATGGCGGACGCGGGATTCGAAGATATCGTCGAGAAACGCATCAAGATGCCCAGTTCACCATGGCCCAAAGACAAACGACTGAAACTCATCGGTGCCTTTGAAAACCATAATTTGCTGAGTGGGATTAGTGGGATGAGTCTTCGCATGTTTAATAAAGCTTATGGGTGGTCCCAGGCTGAGATTGAGATGTTTTTGGTGCCGGTCCGGAAGGATACTGCGGATTTGAGATGTAACCCCCCCCTCTTTTTTTCCCTCCCCTCTTCCCTCGCTCTTTCTGAAGTCTATTTTTGGTGGAGATTAATTGCTAATGTGGGTTCTTTTGATACTTTTAGATCATAGTTATTTCGAGTTGTAAGTCTTTGGTTGATAGCCCCTTCCTCTTATTCAACAAACTCCGCTCCCATTTCCCGCCCCCCTCTCTCCTATTCAACTTGATGGGTTCCTTACTCCTCGTTTTTGCGCTGGTGAATGATGGATACTGATTTTTGGATATGGATAGTGTTATTGTCTATGGAAGGAAACCTAGTGATAGGGTTGTAAATACGGTGTAGATTTCTTGTCATCGATCTGTTTATTAATGAATAGTTTTATATATGTAGAGTATATATTCGGTGTTTCTTGGTACGAAATCGCGTTCAATTGGGCACCGTGATAAAACTTGTTAGCGCGACTTTCACTTTTATATGTAATTAATTGTTAAAGAAGTACTGTACCTACTATAAATCAGATGTTTTTTAATAGTAATAAACGATGAGGTACAACGAAAAAGACTGCCAATTGGTTTCTTAATAATAGCTACGTTTTTGTGGTAATATAGCAAAGTGTCTATAACTATGCGCTTTTCTATCCCTAGCCAGACCCTCTACTCGAACTACTTGAATTAAAGCGCATCTATCCCTCTAATTCAAGTCGCATTTGTCCTTGGAATTCAAGTCGCATTTATCCCTAAGTATTTTCTCTTCATATTCCACCAACCCTAACCCTAACCCTGACCCGAGTGGACTCGATCAAGACCTAATTACTCTACATATATCAAGAAGCTTCGCCGTATCAAAGTGCGGTTAACTTGAGAATCGTCGCTTTTCCTACTGTACCTAGATTTGTCGTTAGGTAGAAATATGTGTGTTGAAAAGAATTTGTGGAATATATACGAGTATGTATTTCGCTAGGATATATTAGTACAGTAGATAATCTTGTTGTCTGGTTGATGTTCGCTAGATCCGGAATTTAAACCGAGTTTATGTAGGGGAGTTGGGAGTAGGTATAGGTAGGTTTTCGCTTATGAAAACTATAGGGATGTTTTTTTTGATTGGGAGTAGGTATAGGTAGGTTTTCGCTTATGAAAACTATAGGGATGTTTTTTTTGATTGGGAGATGTAGGTAGGGGTAGGGGTATGGGTATGGGTGGAAGTAGAAAGAGGGATGTTTCGTAGACTATGTATAAGGCTTTTTTTTACTAGTTGGTAAACTTAAGCGATAGCGTAGAGGGGAGATATGTTAGGTATTAGGTATTTAGTAGGTATTTAGTAGGTATTTAGTAGGTAGGTGGTATATACTCGAGTCTCGAGTAGGAATAAAATAATTTCTAGGATGGGGGGGCGGGGGGGGGGGGG